ACATCTTGATGTATGGTCGGAACAGTTTCTACTAGCTTATATGCACATATTGATGTATGGCTTTAAAAGTTTGTAGGCAGTCATTCATACATACATCAAGATGTATGCACAAGTGAAGCTTAAGAACTTTGTGCAGCTTTTCAGACAGTCTTCTTTAGATTTTAACTGTCGACTTGTTGTCGTACATCTGGATGTACGACCACTTATAAGTACAAATATAGATACTTTAAAGTAAATTAAAGTTGGATCCATCAAGCCACGTTCATCCATCACTTGATCATATGGAAACGAATAATCCGTAAGACCTTTAAGATCAATCAGGGGAAATATATTTCCCTAAAAATATTTACTTGGAAATATTCGATTGATATATGTTTATAGATTGACTAAACTAAGCGTTACATCTGATAAATGTGAATTGCAAAATTGGTATCTGGGTACTCGAATACCCCACACAGCTTACTTATTTTCACTTTTTCAATATAGACATCCGCATGCCCAGCAAATCGAGAAAACGAATTGCAACCACAATGATGATTATTCAAGCAACAATTGTTGTATGCATTGAGAAGCACTTCCAGTTTGGCATTCTTCATCAGTTCAATTGAGCCAAACAAAACTTAATGGGATATGGACACACACACAAACACACACACACACGCACACACTTTCTGGCCATGTGCAGCCTAACGACACTTGGCTTTGCGTTTGCCGCCTGCCAGCCAAAAGAAAAGAGCATCAATCAATTGCAAATAGAAAACAAAATCTTCCAATCAGACGAATTGATCATTGAATTGCGCTTGGGAGCCCGAGATGCTGTGGAGGTGGGGCGGGGTGAGGCGGGCATGCAACGTACAAAACTGCGCTTGCGGGTGGCCCCACCTGCCGGCCAGAGGCTGTAACTGTGTCTGTCTGTGCGCATGCGCGCGCGCGTGCGTGCGTGTGTGTATGTCTGTGTGTGTGTGTCTGTGGCTTGGGTTCGGATTTTGTTTTGGGTTTGGTGTTAGGAACGTGGCCTGGCCAAGAGAAGAAAGTGTTAAGTCCAATTCCAAATATTCGCTGGTGAAATTTAAATCATTTTCAAATTTAATTACCGACAAATAAACGTTTGGCATTCCAGACGAGGCGCTGCCACCTGCCTTGTCACCTGTGGCTGCTGCTGCTGCTGCTACTGGGCGTGGCATTTCAGGCATTCAAGTGTAGCATCTCAGCATCAACATCATCATCATCATCATCATCATCTGGCAGCAACAGAGCAACATCATCATGAGCATTGGCTTATTCTACGAATACGCACAACTTTTTCTCTTTTATTTGTGCAGTCTCTTGTCTTCTTCTTGTTGTTGTTGTTGTTGTTGTTGTTGTAATTGCAGTCTTGGCATGTCCAAAAAATGTTAATGGCCAGCACGGTGCTTCATTGAGAAATCGGGAGCACAGCGCACAGTGGTCAACGGCACGCGGACATTGCATTTATTTAAATCAATTGCGACATTCGAAATGCTCCGACTTACTATACTATATATAATTGAACTCTAGATAGATATTTTCGTAGGACTTTCTCTATCAAATTGAGTTTAACAATTCACAATCATATGTATTTATATTTAGAGTGTTAGGCACATGCTCGCTAGCTAGCTGTCAAAGTTCATGTTACTTTGACAAGCAGTTAAATTGCAATTTCGTTTTCACTCTGCGCAATTTACATCGCGCCGAGTTGGCAGCACCGCATTGACAGGCTGGCAGGGCGATTGAAGGAAATTGTTTAATTCACAATTGAGTGTCAAGTGCTTGATGCTGCCAGATGTGCCTTGCCTAGCCAGGTGGCAACGCTTAACAGCACGGTAAATCTTAAGCGTTTCAACTGAAGTATTTAAGTGTGAACATATACAATACATAAGTATATTTATTCTTATTTTTTCTTATACTTAATGAATGAACACATTTGAACAATTCACTTCAATTTTTGCGCAGTGCATTGCTCATTTGTTGACAAAATATGATCTACAGATTGTAGACAGTCTGCGAGTGTCACCCACTCCTTTGCCCCACCCGGCTGCGTCTCCGTTGGCACTGGCACACTTCAGGCATTTGCAAAGTGCAACTGCAACAATGTTGCACGCATTGTGATTTGAGCCAGTGGCAGCTACCATTACGAGTCTCGATATGGGTTGGCTGGCGGCCGTCTACGCCCTTGGCGCATGCGCAAATTGCAAGTCATTATACCCTGTGCCCGAAAACGATGGGGTAACATCTACCGTTGCCAATGTTTGTCACAGACAAAAGAGGCAGGCCAACTTCCTTTTGCATATATTTTATTTATTAAATACTCTTATCACTTATTATGAATATGCTTTCGTATCCTATAACTAATACATATGTAGTTAAAAAATAAACTTATTATCATATATTTGTTCAACCATGCATGTAGGCATGAGCATACAGGGCATTTGCTAGTCGAGCACTCTCGACTGCAGCATTCATTTGACTTGTTTTCATTCATCTTCAGCGCACAGACATATGTAAGTACGCACGCGTGTGTGTGTGTGTGTGCGTGTGCCTGTGTGTGTGCTTGTGTGCGATCAGGAGACATTTCTCGTTGGTCGTTTTCTCGCCTTTTTCGCGCTGGCCGCTCTTTTCTTTTCTTTTCTTTTTTCTTTCTTTCATTTTGGCGCACATAAAAAAGCGGCTTTTCGTTTAAGTGCGTCGCGCCTGGATGAGACGTCTGTCCGTTTGGCCGACGACTGCGTCTCCGTCTGCGTCTGCGTCTGCAGAGAGATGACCGCTAAAGCCGGAACTGGCCATGGCCATGGCCAAGCGATGCAGTCGCCGTCGCGCCGCAGCGGCAGCACGTCGAAAGTTGAGCCGTTTTTGGGCTGGCCAACTGCCTGACTGACTGCCCGACAGACGGACTGACTGACCAACTGAGCAAACCAGACAGAGACGCGGACGCAAGCGCTGGCGGAAGAAGGAAAGTGAAGACGCTGCGCGCAGACGCAGACGTTGCGCAGTCAGCTTCGACGTCCGCGTTGACGCCCCACCTGCAGGCAGAACCCGAACGCGGCGGCGCTGAGGATGTCAACTGTGGATTGGGCTGTGGATGCTGAATGTGTATATGAATGTGGATGTAGATGTGCATGTGGATGCTGTGAATGTGGATGTCGAATGTCGCGATGGCTGCGTGAAAATGCCGCCCAACGAGTTTCGCAATAAAGAGAAAGTGTCCAAAGGCTGTTCTCGCGATCGTAAAGAATAAATTTGTGTTTCCTGTTTGCTGCATACCTTTTTCAACAGTCTCACCAAGAAAAACAAAAAACCGATTTCATCTTTATCATCGAATCCCCCCCCCCCCCCCCCCCCAACCCACACCTCCTCCACTCGTTAACTCGCGAGGGCCAACAAGTGCCGCGAGAAAGTTATTTATGTATATGTATGTGTGCTTGTGCAGCCTGTTGCCAGGGTCTTGAGACAACGTCAAAGGGAACGGACTGAGATCAATGCGCTCAGGCGACAACCTCAAGTGAAAACCGCATAAATTGGCAAAAGGCAACAAAAAATAAAAACTAAACTCAAAATGTGCTTAAGACGCAACTCGCCAAAACTCGAAATGCAGCCAAAAATACGAAAATACGAATCCAAAGGGCACAGTGGCACAGTGGTGCCAGCGCCATGAAAACGGCACAAATATTAATTACTCAACACACACACACACACACACACATATGGGCAGGCATGTATGTGTGTGTATGCGGCTGGAAATGATAAGATTGAGAGCGACGGCATTTGCTGGATGCCTACACGCATTCCAATATCAATATTCCATTAAAAAAATATGACGCATTGCCACACCACGACACACACACACAGACACACACACACACGCATGCACATGCGCCTATTGTTGTCAGTGTATGCGCCACTGTTTCCAACTGATTCGCAATGTACCGCTAGATCACTAAATCAGTGCAGGCCCAGTGCATAGCTATAGCCAAAGTACCTAGCCAGAAACAAGCTGCATGTTCTGAAAAATGAATTATTCAAGCTAAATTGTTATTGACTGTAACGTGACAAAACAACAACAAATGAATTTAACAGCAAAGTTAATTTTGTTCAGCTAGAACAGAGTTAAGCGCGAGTTAATGCAATTTTGGGCCGCTGAAGCTAGCTATAAAATAGCTAAACTGCCAACACTAGCCGATGTATGCATGTGTATGTGTGCGCGTTTTATTTTCAGCTACGATAATGAACAAGCCACAGCGACAAAAACAACGCGCAACATTTTAATAAAAATCTACATGAACACTGTGTAATACGCATGCATACACATATGTATGTAACTGTATTTATATACTTAGTATATGGCGCCTTATCCGCCAAGAATGGATCCGCTGCGCGGCATCCGTTCGAAACGGCATCGCAGTGCCCCAGCCACAACGCAGCGGACAGCGCGCGCGTCTCAAGCCCCAACGCTCAATTTGCGGATAAGCAAAACAAAAACAAACATATCCTTATCCAAGTGCCAATTGTCAGCGCAACGTTATCCGCTGCAGCATGTTGCTCGCGCAGAGGGCAGCTCAGGTGCTGCCGCTGCTTCTGCTGCCGCTGCTGCTCGACCTGACGGAGCTGCCCAGCGCCACGGCCTGGATGAAGTTCAACAGTTACACGGCGCTCGGCCGGAAGCGCACGGATCTGCGCAAGAAATGTCCAAATGTGAGTAGAAGCGAAATGGGCCTTAGCTTGGATAGCTCGGATAAGCTGTATAGAGCGGATAAGCTGGCTAAATTGGTTGGCGGATAAAGTCATTGGAAATCTGTTGACATTTTTACAGTGCAGCCATGGAATTATAAAATATTTCCCACATTCCAGTACTCGAGACACAAAGAAGACAACAAAATTCTTTTTGTCGTACAGTGAAAGTTCTCTTGAGAAGACACCTACGAGTCCACAATTTGCTGTACTTAGGGAGAAGTCCAGTGCACTGAAAAAAGTTTCTGCCAATTTTTGTAGAAATTGTAAAAGCCATACAAAAATTTAAATCGATATTTATCGATGTCACAATAGCATGCAAAGTTATCGATAAAACTTTGATCTTGATGCAAGTAGAGTATAGCGAGATTTTTCTCAGTGTACACAAAACATTTGCATGCCCGTGTGTGCGTGTGTGTGTGTGTGTGTGTGTCTGTGTGTGTGTCTGTGTGTGTGCTCTCTCATCAATATGCGAGTCAGTCAGGCTCTCATTCAGAATGTGTCTGGGGGCAAAGAAATGGGCGCACACTGATGCCAAAATCAATCACACTTTCTAAGTGCCCGACGTCCGTGTGTCGCAGTCGCTGCCGCTGTCGCCGTCGCCGTCGCAGTCGCTGTTTCCAGCGGCGTCGGCGTCGGTGTCGCCATCGGCATGGCCGCAACGTTGACAGGCGCTCAAGTGCAGCGGATTTTGTAGTATATACCCTGTACCCGTGACAAAATAGATAAAACAGGGTATACTCCAGCTGTGCAAGCGTATGTAACAGGCAGTAGACATTGTATATATAGATATAAATATAGATATAGATATAGATATAGATATAGATATAGATATAGATATAGATATAGATATAGATATAGATATAGATATAGATATAGATATAGATATAGATATAGATATAGATATAGATATAGATATAGATATAGATATAGATATAGATATAGATATAGATATAGATATAGATATAGATATAGATATAGATATAGATCTAGATATAGTATAGATATAGATATAGATATAGATATAGATATATAGATATAGATATAGATATAAGATATAGATATAGATAGATAGATATAGATATAGATATAGATATAGATAGATATAGATATAGATAGATATAGATATAGATATAGATATAGATATAGATATAGATATAGATATAGATATAGATATAGATATAGATATAGATATAGATATAGATATAGATATAGATATAGATATAGATATAGATATATATATATAGATATAGATATAGATATAGATATAGATATAGATATAGATATAGATATAGATATAGATATAGATATAGATATAGATATAGATATAGATATAGATATAGATATAGATATAGATATAGATATAGATCTAGATATAGATATAGATATAGATATAGATATAGATATAGATATAGATATAGATATAGATATAGATATAGATATAGATATAGATATAGATATAGATATAGATATAGATATAGATATAGATATAGATATAGATATAGATATAGATATAGATATAGATATAGATGAACTGTTTGCCCAGACTGATTGCTTGATCGGTGATGAAGAGCTAGGTGCTGAATTCCACCCGCCAGCGTGGAAAATTGGTGAATATTTCTTCTCAAATTCACAGATCTTGAAAACTCACAATACGCTTCGCCTGGCTGGCAATCGGAGGTCGAAGCCCATTTACATATTCAAATCAATCAAAAGATTTCGAATTTGCAATTTTATTTTTCTTCCATAAAATCGATAAATATCGATTTGCAAGCGCCGCACTTTGGGCATATCTCCATATCTCCAATTGAAATATCAATTTTAGATAAATAAACAATCTTCATACCTTCTTCAGGGGTAAAGCATTAATATTTATTCAACTAAATATATATATATATATATATATCCGCTTTGCCCTCAAAATGAAAAAGATTCGTGCCAATCTAGAAATCCGATAAGAATCGGAGCAGAATCCAGTTAGTTGTGGAGGAATACTTTTTTCTGATAGGAATCTGGAAATGGAATTTGGAGAAATATGTGTAAATTGATGTTACGGCAACTCGTTGCTGTGCATAGGGTATCTGGCAGTCGAACAGACCCGACTGTGGCACGCTTACACTTGTTTCTGTGTTTGTAGTTTGTTTTTACTCATTTTTTTTCCATTTTTTTAATTTTTATTTTGTGGCAGTTGCAAGACGCACAGCCAAAAGCGAGAAACAAATTGAACAAATGCACAAAGTGACATGCAACTAGATTTGTGTGTGCGTGCGTGTGTGTGTGTGCGTGTGTGTGTGTGTGTGCGTGTGTGTGTGGCTTAATTTCAGCTGGCACGCACATTTGCCTCAATGAAAACTTTGCTGTTGTTATTCTGATTTATTTATGTGTTTACTTTCTATAAGAGACCATTCTACCAACCGCCCCCCCCCCCCTCTCCCACCACTACCGTCCCCTCTTTACCACCCTCACAACAGGTGCGCGCCATACGCAACTTTGATCTGGAGCTAATGATGGGCAATTGGCATGTGGTCCAATATTATGCCTCCACGGAGGAGCTGCCCGAATATGCGTGCATGCGCAGCAATTTTGCCTTTTCCAGCGAGGACCAGCATGTAAGTACAGCAATCTCATGATTGACTGACTGACTGATTGACTGACTGAATGATTGACGGATTGGCTATGAAGAGCTCAAGCCGTGTAGGGCTAGACTTGCCCTTGATCTATTCGAACACTTTGACAAATTCCACTCGCAAGTGTGGAAAATGAGTGAAAAAGTTTATTTTTGATCCGATTGGCTTTAAACTCTCATTTCTGAAGCTCTGTGATGCGAAACTTTGTCCTCTTCAGACTTCAAAGTTTTTTCATATTTCTACAAAAAAAAAATTCAATTGTTTCCCGTGGAAAAGTGGAAAAGCGACGGCTAAATTTTGTAGAGTGACACTTGTGCCGGGCAATGCCGGGCAATGCCGGTCAATGCCTGCTATTCTACTAGTACATACATGTTTTTCATATCCGCCTCAGATAACCATGAACTTTAGCTACATCTTTGCCGAAGATCCGCTGCGCGAGAAGCTGCAGGGCAACATCACGTGGCTGATACCGGACTTTGGCACGCCCGGCCACTGGATGCACACCGAGGACATATGTAAGCCCAGGCCTGTCTTGAGTATTAAATATATATATTATAAAATTTCACACATAGACGAGGGCATTTACAACACCTATGTGCTGGACACGGATTATAGGAACTGGGGTCTGATCATGCACTGTGCCGAGAAGAAGAAGCATCCGCGATATTTGTCCGCATTGCTGCTGTCGAGGCAGCCCACGCTGGGCGATAATGTGATTACATTTTTGAGGTGAGTCGCACAACAACTCAAATGCATATGTCAAACGTTAATTTGAGCGTTTTATTAGAGAGAAATTGCCACGCTATGATATTGACTTGTCGTTCATGTTTGCCATTAATCAAACTTTGTGCGAGCATCTGATGGAGTCGAGCAAAGATGATCCGCTGGCGTATATTGTGAATGGACAGCAGAGCGTTACAGATAGCATTAAGCTGATCAATAAACCATAATTAAATAATCATAATAAACGTATGCAATTCAAATCTACCTTTAAATTGGGCGCTTACTTGAAGTTGGCTGCGCTCAAACTCAATTTGACAAACGCTTAAAGTTGGCTGCGCGCAAATTGCGCACTAACCTTAAGTGGGCTGCACGCAAATTTGCGTTCACTTTAAGTTGGCAGCACAACGTACGCCAAATATGTAGCGTGAACGCAAATTGAGCAGCGCGTAACGCAAAAATGCGAAACGTAAATGGAAAAAACACAACACTGAGCGTTCGTGGCGAATGCCAAGCTGAACAACGCAAACAAAATTTGGTCACTCTAAAACGTAGTTGCGAAGAAAAAATTAAATATTTTTGTGTGTTTTTAAAGGGTTTTAATTGCTTTGACAAAACACGGCAAACCAGCATTTTTGAACGTATTCGAATTTGTGTGTTCGCAATGTGCAATAATTTCAATATACACACAAACAGTGATTTGTATGTATATAATCTGTAGCTGTTGTTGTACCTGATTCGTTGCGATTTTCGTATGCTGCTGCGTTAAAAGTGGTGGAAAATGTGTGCAACAAAAAACATGCAATTGCCACTAACTATGCACATTGGGCAGCCAGCGGCAACAGTGCGTTAGCTATTATTATTAACTTGGTGTGGTGCGGGTGCGCTTAACGTGAAAAGTAGCTAAGAAAATTCGCGCGTGCAACACAAAATTGCGCCAATAAGCGAACGACGACGACGACGACGTTTCTGTCTGTTTCTGTTTTATTGCATTCCTGCTCGCACACATACATACATACATACAGAGCAACAGAGATTTTCGAGCATACATATGCATATGTATGCTTGCATGTATATGCATACACATATACATAAACACATGCATTCACGCAATAAACGCAGCGCAACCAACAACAACAACTACAAACAACAATCAACATTGGCCGCAACACAAATGTTTTGTTTCAGGTGAGCATGCAGCAAACATGAATACAGTTTGTACAGTTTACGAAGCGTGTTTACTTCAAATATAAATAGAACAACTCAAAGTGCAACAAATAAGTTGATGTGCATTGATTTGTTACTCTTGTGTGTGTGTTTTTTTTTGTATCATTTCTGTTTCTTTTTGTTTTTGGCAATAATTAAAATGGTAAATCGTTTGCGCTCGCACACTGTGCGCGCAATTGACAATAGTGTGCGCTCGCTCGCACGCACGCAACGCTTACGGCAACTCGTTTGTTGTGTTTTGTTGTTGTTGCTTCTTGACATTTGCTGCGGGAAGCTCCGCTTGAGAGTGTTTTTTTTTTTTTATTTTATAATTTTAATATACATATGTGTATATATAGTTTGAATGTGGCATTAGTTAGTTTTGATAATAATGCTCATGTTTACCGTTTCCACTTGCAGTGTAATTGTTGCAATTGCCATCAACTGGCCACGCGCGCCAACTATCGCATAAACGAATTGTAAACAATAGAAAAATAATCGCAATAAAAGGCGAAACTCGCAGGGAAGGAAGTATTCGCATAACCGACTGGAACTCGGCCTGTCAAGATGTCGCGCTGGGGCAAGAACATTGTCGTGCCGCTGGACTCGCTCTGCAAGGAGAAGGAGAACACCAATCGGCCGACGGTGGCCCGCTCGGTCGGCACGGTGGGCAAATGGGGCAAGATGGGCTTCACCTCGACGCGCACCTATACACTATCCGCGCTGCATCCGATGGCCGCTGCGGCGGCTGCTGCTGCGGCCGCCGCCAGTCCCGCCCAGAGTCCGGCCTCTACACACGATCACGATCCGAACGATATGTCCGTGTCGGTGCCGGAGCCGCCCAAGCCCAAGAAGTTCTTCAAGTCGCGCAACGCGGCGCCGCCCGAGGTGATAGCCCAGATAATACAACAGCTGCCGCACTGTGTCGCCGCTACGTCGCCCATGCGGGATCAGGCGGCCATGACGCCCACACGGGAACCCATCAAGCTCAAGCTGGCCAAAGGCAACTCCGCTGAGCGGAAGCGTAAGTCGCCCAAGAAGAAGGCAACGGCGACGACGGCGGCGGCGGCGGCGGCAACGACGACGGCTGCCTTAACGCCAGGTGCGTTTGGCGCCGCCGAAATAGGCGATGGCTTGGCCCTGGATGCAGCCGATCAAATGGATCTGAGTAAGGGCGCATCGCCCACGGCTGAGCCCAAGGGCAAGAAGAAGAAGATCAAGGAGGAGAAGAAACTAAAGCCCGAGGCGCCGCCATCACGTATTCTGGGACGGGCCCGCAAAGCGGTCAACTACTGCGAAGTGGACGAGGACGAACGCTATCCCACGCCCATCAAGGATCTGGTGATGCCCAAAACGCGTGCGTCCGAAACAACAACAGCCGCATCCCAGGATGCTGCCACACCAGCAGCCCCAGATCCAACCACAGCCACAGCCGCAATCCCTGCAGCAGCAGCAACAGATGGCAATCCAGCGCTTCCTCCGCCAACAACGGCGCCCAGTTCAGCAGCCGTTGGCATCACAGCCGGCTCAGCTTCCACAATGGCCGCATCTACTGTGCCATCTGCATCCGCCTCATCCAGTGCTTCCCGCACGCCCGAACATCCGCCAATTGTTCTGCGCATTTCCAAAGTGAGTGTTTCGAGCTGACGAGATCACATCTCACCCGGTGCTAAGGCCACAAAGCCTACGACTTCGGGATGCCGAAGATTAAATGGCCAGAGGCAGATAAATAACAGACTAGCTGGCATTTTCCGGTCTAGATAGCAATCTTGACATCTAGAGCTATATTTATTTAAGAACCAAAAGTTGTACCTTCTTGTGAAGCTTAAAGCTGAAGGTAAACTTTTGCATGTACAACCTTTGACCTACATTTTCCATCCAAGTGGGGGTGGATTGTGCAGAGAGTTTAAAACATTTTAAAGATGCGTTTGAAGTAAATCGCATGGCCTGCAAAATATTTTCCGTTTTCCGCCAATTTTCCACAGTTGCGGGTGGAATTTGCAAATCGCGCGTTTATTAATAGAACGTCTTTAAGCTTTAAAAACTGTTATAGAAACTGTTCTATATAGAAATGAGATTTCCCTATATCCCAGCGATTTGTCCAATTGGATCTAATTGGTAAAATAGCCCAACGTTGATAAGATTTTCCTGATATACTAAGAGCATTTTCTTGGTGCTGTTAATTTAACTCAATCGCCGGCATATCGTACGTATAGTGCTCCGATCTGGAAAACTTATTTGCTAATTTGGTTAAAAAATGAGCAGAGCCTAGTTCTAGAAGTTCCAAAATATCCTGACCATTCTATATAGAAATAATTGCCTGATATTATTATACTTTCCCAAACGAGATCTGCGCATAAATTCAAGAATTTAATGTCTAGCTTTTTTTAATCAATACAAATTGATTAAAATTTTGTTTATCATAAATTCAGTATAATGTTAACTTTTGCAAGAAATGCAAAAAAAAAAGAAAATAAATTGTGCGACTTGCATTTGTGCGCAGTTGACATATTTTCATCGTCTGCTTAACCACTGTGCGCACGAGTGACGCGTTCGGCGAGAGACGATCCCTGCCTGCCTCTCGCTCGCTCTCGTACACAAACACATGCACACGCATACACACACATATATATACATATATTCACGCACCCCACAACATGTCGGCTGGAAGCGCTCTTTAAGCGCTGTGTGGGAAAGAGAAAGCGACAACAATAACAACAAGCAGCAAGCAGCGCGCAGCGCCAGTGTTAAATTACGCGCGCTTTTACATTAAACGGAGTTTTTTTTTTGTCGCTTATTTCTTTGCTTGAGTTTCTGTTTTTGTTTTTTCAACAACGTTTTCATTTGATTGCCGCCGCCGCTTAGGCCCAGTTGTTGTTTGTGTCTGTTGCGCGACAGTTGTCGCTGCCGTTAGCCAAAAGTGTTAATTGCGGCTGAGAAAATACAACGTACCCCACAAGTGCACACAGTTAGATCGAATTGTGTTATAAACAATGAAATCATTTGCCGTTTTCAATTGCAGGGCACCTCACGTTTAGTCAGCACGGACAGCGAGGAGCCGCCAAATAGTTCGCCTGCACAGCAGCATCAGCAACAGCAGCAGCCATACGAGACGCCCAGCGATGCGCTGCCCGATCAAATAGAAGCCATAGTTCCTGCAAGTACGCCAAAAATAACTGTTAAACCGCTGCGACCGCCGACAGCGGCAGAAGCTCAGGACGCAGCCGCAGCAGCTGGCAGCGAAGCGTTAACGCAGGCAGCGACGCACGCAGCGCACGCGAAAATCAACAACGACGACGACGAAGAAGAAGAGGAAAACGAGGACGAGGAGGAGGAGGAAGACGAAGAGGAAGAACCGCCTGAAATCAATTATTGCACAGTGAAAATCTCACCAGACAAACCGCCCAAGGAGCGCCTGAAGCTGATCATCAAAACGGACGTCATACGGAACGCGATCGCCAAAGCAGCCGCCGCCGCTGCAGCAAAGGCCGCTGGCGAGGAGTCGCGCAGCGAAAAGAAATCTAAAAGTAAAAAGCACAAACATTTAAAGCACGCCCAGCTAGTCGAGCAACTGCAGCCCAGTCTACCAGCAGCAGGAGGAGCAGCAGGAGCTGTTGCAGTTGCTGCTGCCCCAACTGCGTCGGTCGCCGAATTGGCCAATACGGAGTTTAAGACGCCCTCGCCGCATTTGGCGCTGAGCGAGCCGCAGCAACAGCAACAGCAGCAGCAGCCGCATCCGACGCATATACAGCCGTTGCGGGGGTCGGTTATATCGCCAACGACACGCTCCGATCACGACTTCGATTCACAGTCGTCGGTGCTGGGCAGCATCTCGTCCAAGGGCAACAGCACGCCGCAGCTGCTCGCGCAGGCGGTGCAGGAGGAGAGCTGTGTAATACGCAGCCGCGGCTCTAGTGTCATAACCAGCGATCTAGAGACCAGCCAGCACTCCTCACTGGTGGCGCCGCCCTCGGACATTGAGTCGCGCCTGGAGTCCATGATGATGACCATCGATGGCAACAATACGGGTGCAGCTGCTGCAGCAGCACCCGGCACAGTCGCTGGCTCAGCAGCTGATCTGCATAGTCGTGTGGAGCAGCCGCTGCAGCAGGACATACTCTCTGTGCTGCGCGGCGATGTGGTGCCACGTCTGAATGGCGTCGACGAGCCGGCCGCCGAGTCCAAACAGCCAAAGCGGGCGACGCGCGGACGTGCGCGCAAGTCCAATAGCAATAGCAATAGCAATGCGGAGCCGGCGCCAACGCCCACGGAGACGCGCACCAGAGCGCGCGCTAAGCCATTGGAGGCATCATCGCCCACGTCTACGTCCACGTCCATGCCCGCGGTCACGAAGCGTGCCACACGCACGCGCGGCAGCAAGAGAATGGAAACGGAAATGGAGCTGGTCGAGTCGCCCGAAAAGTGCTTGGAGGCAGCTGAGGCGCCGCCGCGACGCGGACGTGCCGCTGCGCGCGCCAACAACAACAATTTGGCCAGCAGCAATAATAACAACAACAATAACAATAACAACATCAACAAAATTGCCGCCAACTTGTCCGCCAAAGCGGAGGCCAGTCGCACCACAGACTATGGCGCAGGCAGCACAGCCGCCGGAGCCGGAACGCGTAGCTATGGACGCAAGCGGAAAAATCAGCAGGTGACGCAGCTGCTGCCACAGGGCGAAGCGGATGCCGCGACGGCGGAGCAACTGAAGCTGAAGCTCCTGGAGCAGCAGCAGCAGCAGCAGCAGGAGGCGCAGCTGAACGACGATAGCCAGCCAACGCCGGCCAAGGTGCCGCACACGGATCTGGATGTAGACCTGGACGCGGAGCCTGATCCGGGCATGGATGAGCTGTCGAATACATCGAACAGCTCCTCGTTGCAGCACGATGGCTCCTCTTCGTCGCCGCCGCCGCGTGATTACAAATTCAAGGACAAGTTCAAGCGCACGCTCACCCTGGATACGCAGGTGGCGGGCGCTGGAGCTGCTGCTGCTGCAGCTGCCGCTGCCGCTGCGGAGGCAGCAGCAACCAGCAGTGCCGCCAACACCGGCAGCGAGGAGACGCAGCGCGGCGCCGTCAAACTGGTCATCTCCAAGAAGAAGGGCAGCATCTTCAAGAGCCGGGCGCTGGTGCCCTCCGATCAGGCCGAGCAGGCGTCGGTGGCCAAGCGACATCTGTACAAGCACAGCTGGGATGCGGCACTGGAGGCCAACGGCGGCGGTACCGGCAGCGATGCCAGCAATGCCTCCGCCTCGACGACAGCGGGCGGCGGCGCCAAGGCGGACAGCCTGCTGGCCAGCAAAGTGGCCACCATCGATGCCATCTACGGGGACTTTGGTGACAGCAACTCCAACAACAATACCTGCAGCAGTTCCGCGCTGCGCGGCGAAAGTCCGGCCCTGGGCAAACTGACGCGCCAGTCCAAGCCGCAACACAGTGGGCAATCCTCGGCGGCGGCGTCAAGCGATGCCTTCGACCTTGAACTGGAACCGAGTCCGGATGAAGCTGGTCCCGGCGGCGGCGGCGGCAGCACGGCTGGAGCTGCAGCTGGCGCTGGTACTGGTGCTGGTGAGCGGACGGGTCTGCGCGTGGATCGCAAAACAAAGGAATACTATACGGTGGTGCGGAATGTGAAGACGGCGCATCAGATACAGGAGATTGGCGAGTACCAGGAGATGTATGACGATGTCGAGTACATACTGGATGCACTGCAGCCGCACAATCCACCGCCGACACGCTGCCTATCCGCCCTGCAGCTGGCCACCAAATGTATGACGCCCGCCTTTCGTATGCATGTGCGCGCCCACGGCGTCGTCACCAAGTTCTTTAAGGTGAGTGGACAGGGACGGAGACGGAGACGGAGACGGGGTGTCCTTTATCTTAAATAAATAATCGAATTATTTGCTATACAATTGCATAGGCGCTATCGGATGCCAACAAGGATCTGAGCCTGGGCCTGTGCACCTCGGCCATTATGTATATACTCTCGCAGGAGGGCCTCAACATGGATCTCGATCGGGATTCGCTCGAGCTGATGATCAATTTGCTGGAAGCCGAAGGCGTGGGCGTCGCTGCGCACACAGACCGTCCCAATTATGAGAGGAACAAGCAAAAGGTGCGCGAACTATGCGAGGAGATCAAGGCCCAGGGCAAGGGCACCCATCTGAATGTCGAGTCTATAACGGTGGGCACTTTGGCGATGGAAACGCTGCTCTCGCTAACCTCAAAGCGTGCGGGCGAATGGTTCAAAGAGGATCTACGCAAACTTGGCGGCCTGGAGCATATTATCAAGACAATATCCGATTTTTGTCAGCCGGTAATTGCCACAGCTGCCACGGACATGGCCCTGGTCGCCTGGGAGCCAGCTCTGCTTGATAATATGCAAACGGTGGCGCGCTGTTTGCGCGTCCTCGAGAATGTCACCCAGCACAATGAGGCGAATCAGCGGTATATGCTCACCTATGCCAAGGGACGGGCCGTGGATACGCTGTGCTTTCTTTACCGCCTGTGCGATCGCCAGCTGCTGCTGCATCCCTCGACAGCCGAACAGAATAGCAGCAAGGAGCATCCGGGCGTGGCGATGCGCGAACTCCTCATACCCGTCATGAAGGTGCTCATCAATCTGACGCACACGTTCAACGAGGCGCAGCCCTCGCTGGGCGCCGAGCTGCTCGGCAAGCGCAGCGATGTCATCGAGACATCATTCCATCTGCTACTGCTTGCGTCCAACTACATTCCGGATCGCTGTGTCTTCGAGTTGAGCATCCTGGTGAGTTGATCTAATTCTTATATATTCATGATATTTAACCAACATGTTTTGTGCTGACTCCGCCAGGTGCTGACCCTGCTCATCAATCTGTGCATGCACACGCCTCCCAATCGTGCCACACTGATGCAGGCCCATGCGCCGGCCGAATATGTGGCGGACAATCCCAAAACATCCGGTGATCAGGCGGTCAGTGCGGTTCAGGCGCTGCTCGAGTACTTCTACAAGTGCGAGGAGTTGGCCAGGTGCGTTACTTTCACAGCTTCATTTCGCACTTTATCAAAAATTAATTCGCTCATTTCATATTTATGTGTGCAGACTTGTGGAGAAGAACACGGACGCCTTCCTCGAGAGCAACGAGAAGAGCAAAAAGAAGCAGGAGGAGGTCGAGGAGACAGTCAACAATCGTAAGTTATAACAGATCGGGATACACACTTGGATATTTGATATTCGTTAATGCTGGAAACAAATATATAAATAGCATGCAAATCGATTCTAAAGAAAAGCCAGCCATACGCAATGAAATTCGAGTATCTTTGGCACATTCCATGACAGTGGCTGGGCAAAGGGGGTAGTCTGGCAATGAAAGCCAAGCTGAACAGTTTATTTACAAAGAACTCGCCAATAGACTTTAAATATTTACATTAGAAAAATGCAATGCAATGGACACGAGCATATAGATTTAAAATAGATTAAAATGCATCAGGAGAAGCGACATTTGATATATCTAATGTTAATTTGCATTGAAAAAACTGGCTGCAAGGCAAATCTTTGCCGGACAAACTATACTATACTATAAACTGTAGAATATAATTATAAATATAGTATACAATTGATATATATAAATATATATTTATATGGTATTTGAACAATTGCAGTTGTGCAACGCGCCAGCCATCACATGGAGCACACGCTGAAAGGCAGCTATGCGGCGATATTAATTGGTAACCTGATAACCGACAACGACCAGTATGAGACAATCGTGCGGCGGCAGCTGCGTGGCAATAGCTTTAAGGAGATCGTTGGTGTGCTGGAGAAATATCACACCTTTATGAACCTGACGTCCAGTGTGCGTAAACAATCGCTTTATATAAATATTTTCTTCTATTGAATATCGCATGGTAACATATATTTATTTGTTGCAACAGTTGGAGGCCGCATTTGTGGCGCACATGAAGTCCACCAAGAAGATAATTGACAACTTCAAGAAGCGCGACTATATCTATGAGCATGCGGATGAGGATCATACGATGCCGATGCCCCTCAATCTAGAGACGACGACGCATCATCATCATCATCTTCATCATCATCATCATCATCATCATCATGAGCCAAATGATGCAGCGGCGCACACGCTAGATGCGAATGCTTCTAGCAGCAACATAAGCATTGCAACTGGCAGCAGCAGCAGCAGCAACAACAACGCCAGCAGCAGCAGCAACAACACAGCCACCACCACCACCACCGCCAGCAGCAGCAGCAGCAGTGGCAGTGGCAGTGGCAGCAGCATGCCACGTGTCTTCAAGACCTACAGCAGTCATAGATAATCAATGCCGGACGAGCAGTAAGCCAGATCTGTGGAAGACAGCCGTCGCCGCCGCCAGTCACTGAAAGCCTGCCACCAAAATAATAATTATTTATGTTGTTTGTAATTGCTGACAATTGCAGCCTATATACATAATTATTTATTTCCTATTACGTATATGTATGTGAACACACACACACACACACCACACAATTTTATATATATATATATATATGTGTATATTTTATAATATTTTGCTGTGCTCTGCTTGGCTCTGCCTTGGGTTTTCAGCTTAGCTTCGCAATATTTAATTGTATTGTATTTAAAACAAAAAAGTGATAGCAAATGAGCATGGTCAGCGTTTTAACTACAAACACACCCGCGCACACACACATCCGCATACACACAACAACCACAACCACACAGACACACACTCAAAGATCCAAATTAAATACTGATAATCTGTACGTTATATAGTCATAAGCAATATTAGCAACTATTATTATATATTTACACACACTCACGCACACACACACAGATAATCGTTTGTACATATTGTTTATTCAACGATTTTATTCAATGCTATCTAGCTTTTATTTAATGTTTCTATGCTCTATTACTATTTTAATTATAATTAAAAATTCTTTTTTTTTTTTTTTAACTATATATATATGTATTTATAAGCACACACACACACATACTTGTACATGTATAAAGTAGAAGATGTAATGTTTTGCAAACAAAAACAAACCAGAAAAAAAATATAGTTATTTTAAGCGAGAAAAAACTCTATCCATAATTAAAAATGTATGTATGTGTATGTTTAAATGAAAAATGTCATATTTAGGCTTACAACTGAGATATAAACCAGAGAGAGATATAAAAACAAAACAAAAAAAAAAACTCAATTTCGGGAACAAAATATATGTATTTATTTTTTTGTTTTAAAATTGTCGATAATGTGAAAAACAAAAAACAACTATATATAAGGAAACCCTACACACTACATATAATAATTGTTCTTGCAGTAAACAAAAAAAATATATATATATAAAAAAAAATTCAAAAGAAATGAATTTATGTTGTATTTCAATAAGGCACTACTTGGAAATCGAAAAAAATGTTCAAATTGCATTAAAAGTTGGTTTTTTGTTTTGCAGAAAAAAAAAATAGAATGTTATGTTAATGTTTTAACAGCCAACAACATTTGCTCTCAGCGCCAAAAAAAAAAAATATTACAAATTTGATCGTAAATCACAAGCAAACATAAAAACAATTGAGAAACAAATAAAAATGTTGCCCAATAAAATAGTTTTCCATGGAATTGAAATAAATAAAATGCCGCTAAATTGTTTCCAGCTGTCAGCTCTGTTAAGTGTGGAGCAGCGCTGTTAGCTGTGGAGCCGTAACGTGTACACGTGAATGACAAAAAGAACAGTAGTCGTAATTTATGGCAATTGTACAAACAAGACGGAAAAATGAAGCGAGATTAAAAAGTAACAAATATATATATATATATTTATATATATATGTTGTTTTATTTTGCTTTTTTTTTATATACGCATTGCTGTAAAGACTAAATTGAGTGAGACGGCGGCAACGTCGGCGGTCGGGTGCAAAATTTTCATCGAAACTGTAAATTGAAAAAAGAAAGAACCAAAATCAAAAGAACAACAACGCAAACAAACAAATAAACAAAACGCATCGCAGCGCAGGTGTGCGTGTGTGTGTGTGTGTGTGTGGGCGCCAGGCGTAGACAATAACACGCAAAAGAATAGGGATTAGAAGAAGCAGTTGAACCGGGGTGAAATCCGCAGGCAACAGCTGCAATTGGGACATGTCCAAGGTGCAGCCAATGGCGTCGGCGTCTGCGTCGGCGTCGTCGTCGCTGCGCGGACGGGCGCGCCAATTGGGCGGCGAGAGTGTGACCATAGCACATGCAGAGGCAAGCGGAGATGCGGCCAGCGTGGATCTGAACGCATTGGACTACACCAGCAGCAGCTCGATCATTGAGTTCCTGGCCAAGGAGCAGGACTGCAACCTCGAGCCAGCCGATCCGGATAGCATATTCCAGGAGGTCAATCGACTCGCCGACAGCACAGATCTTCGCTCCGTGGATGAGCTGCTGCTGGAAGCGGAGCGTCTCATTCAGCAACAGCTGCGCTTGGGTGACGGCGACGGTGACGGCGACGGCGACATCGATGCCAATGTCCAGGTGAAGACGCCCTCCACCACATCACCGCAGTCGCTGTCATCGTCACAGAACAGCATCAAGCTGAACACGCGCTTCACGCGCCGCATCGAGCATGTTACCACCGTCACCACGAGCACCACCAGGACCACCAGTCCAAGCCATGCCAAAGCCAACAACAACAACAAGTTCAAATCTGTGGGCGGCTCCTCGACGTCGGCGTCGACGCCAGCCGAGCCGTTGGGCAACTTTGTGGCGTTTGTTGAGAACCTGCCCTCGGAATCGGTCATCTCCGAGGAGTCCACGCCCAAGGATCTGCACAATCACACGCACAACGGCGACGCCTTCGCTCAGCTGCAGCTGGAACAGCTCGACAATACCGATGACGACGAGGATACGGTGAGTCTATCGATTCGCATGCCTCCTCCACAGCATTCTCCAATCGGAGACTTTTTCAGTTTGCCCATGTTCCGTTTGTCTGATTGGATTTCCTTTAGCAGCCTTTGCTGTTATCCCTTATCGTTATAGTTCCGTTCACGGTTCAGCTTTAGATTCGGTTCGTGAAACAGGTTCTCTATGCTACTGAATGTAGGTTATTTTTTTATATGAACATTTGCTTTCCTTTTTGCTAAATTAACTAGAAATTGCTGCTGCCTTGAAGGTCAGACAATATTAAGTTTATGGTCGTTCTTCTACGGGAAATATCTATTTTTCCCATAAACTACCTTAAACTGCCTAGGAACTGGACAATTGTATCATATATCCATATGAACAGTTGGTCGAAAATTGAACATTAACCCGCCGCATCGAATCCTGTTTTAATCTATTCAATTTATATACGTTAACATGATTAATGTATTAATTAATCGACTTCAATAGTCTGGTTGCAATAAGAACTGGAACTAGACGCAAACTGGTTCGGCTGCGAACCGTTTTGCAGCCCTGGTTTTGTCCCGAACCAAGCGAAATAAAAAGAACATGTATTAAATATGATTTATAGATACAAGTATATATATATATATATTTATTATTGATTTTTTGTTGTTGTTGTTATTTGTTTTTACATATGTACAATGTACATGCATACATAAATAGGCATTCACACATAGAGAAGCGCGAAGCTGCGCTCAGACACTTACACCTAGTTAGATATAGTTCCGGGATCAGCCGATGGATTGGGCAACTGTCTCGGCGACGGTCCAGCCCTCGAGGGCGGTGTCCTTGATGAACTTGGGCGGCAGGACAAAGCCGTAGGTGCCGCGATCGCGCAACTCAATGGTGTAGACGTATTTAACGCCGAGTGCGGCACGGCTCCAATCGTCGGAGCCGCCGCCGGCAATGCCGAGCACCTCGTGGGTGACGGCCGCCGTGTAGCTGCTGCCCGTCTTTTGGGCAATGCGATCGACAGCGGTGCTGGCGACGCGCTGCAGCACGCTCGAGTCCTTGACCTTGACGGCCTTGTAGGCCCACGGATAGACGACCATTTGGCCGTAGCTGTGATAGGTTAGATACGCCTCCAGATTGTATTTGCGCTTGGCCAGAAAATCGGAAACGGCCTTCGTTTCCAGCTCGGAGGCGGCTGCGCTGCCGCGATAGACATCGCTGCAGGGATCCTTTGAGGAACCGAATCCGGTCCAGCCAATATCGAAATTGCGATTCAGATCGACGCCAAAGCAATTGGTTCGTCGCGATGCCGAGCGATTCTTACGCCACAGTCGATTCGTCGTGCGGCTGTACTCGTAGCCATCCGGATTCATTACGGGCATTATGTACCAGGTGAGGCCGCGTATATGCGCCGGCTGATTCTCCCAGTTGTGCATCAGCTGGTACAGTATAAACGTAACTGTTGCCGGACTGATCCACTCACGTGCATGGATGCCGCCGTCGATCCAAACTTTTTTGAATTCGCGCGGATTTTCCGAGATGCTGCAAGGGCGACAAAAAAAAACACAGCATAGCTTTAGGCGGTGCTTGGAAATTTCTGTGCTGCTTAACAGTTGCCAAAATGTAGCATCCCTCTTAATAGCGCCCAGAATGTTATCTTAACATTTAATACAAATGTTAGCTGTCTAGCTGTGGGCTCTGTTAAGTTAACAGCTGCAAGTGTATTGCATTTGCAGCTAACAGAATGTAGCCTACTTTCGGGCGGCACAGGAAAATCAGCTTGCAGAGGAATTTGGCTATGAAATATGTGACAAACTGTAGCACAGACATCTTCGAAATCGGACCAACCTATATCTTTAATGTTTTGCTGGGAAGTGTATTCAATCTTCGGTACTCCGAAGACATTTCGTATTTTCGCTTAACATACCGCAAGACTTTCAAATCGCGTTTCTCGGCCGTCTGTCCTATGGTATAGAGGCGACATATATTCGGATACTTGGCGCGTATTTCGCGCATAAACGCATAGATGGTCTCCAGATCGTGGTAGTCCTTCCAATGCATGCCGCTGCCGCTGCGTGAGGCCTTCTCTGTTGGGGGAGACATTCAATTCGATTTGGTTAACGATTCGAATTGATTCTCTACTCACTTGAGCGTGCGCCTGGCTGGGCTTGTGTGGCCTGGATGCCTTCCAGCAGCTCCTGATCGATCAGGGACTGGACATTGTCCGACAGCACCTCGGCATCGAGGTGGTGGGCTTGCAGAAAACTGCGCGCCGCCTTTACGTGCTCCTTGCCAATGGAGACGTCCAGAAACTTGGAGTTCTCCTTCCAAATATTGCCACCAAACTTCTCCTCCAGCACCTGGCCAACGGGTATGCTCTGGAGCATGGCATCGCTCATGTTGTGAACGCGCCACAGCTGCGTCTCGTCAAAGCGCTCCGGTATCCCGTTCAGATACTCATTACCCTGAAAAGCCAGCGTGCTGTTTGTCGCACTCGCCATGCCGAGCAGCATCCCGAGCAGCATCAGCTGACCTAAACGTTGACTCATCTCTCCTTCTATCAGTTGTTAGTTGTCAGCTAGCGGCGATATCTGTGTGGAATGATAACTTATCAGCTTCCGACGAGCTGCAGCTAGCGTCTAAGTAATTAACAAACCCAATTAACCCAACTCGTCCCGCCCCGCCACGCCCCCGTTACGCTTAGTTGAGTTTCTGGGTCGCAGACTCTATTCAAATGAATACAAATAGCACTCGCCACTTAGTTTGTTAATCGAGTCACCTTTTTTTCCTTAATCCATATTCGAAACAAAAAAAAAAAAACAAATAACTCATGAAAACAGTTTAGAGCACACACGAGTTGTTAGAAGTACTATATTTACGATATGTTAAACTAATGAGGGTTTATTTTATGATTTTCTACAAATTTCCCAATTTAATGTTAACAGAAAAAGGGAAACTAAACTCGTTCATAAAACTAGTCTTGCTTATATGGAGCGCAATTGTAATTACACGAAATTAACATTCACGTATATCGTATATTGGCATGGAGTTGTATTCCAGAACTGTGCATTTACGATATTGGAAAACTAATGTGATTGGTTTTGTTTTGTGATTTTGTGAATGTTTCCAATGTATAAAATTGACAGTTGTTTGCGATCCAGCTGGATGGGATATTTTTACAAATTCACGTTTACGATATGGGAAATCGGAAAGGAACTTTGAAAACTTTCCCATTATTGATTTTAACAATTGAATTAATGCTCAATACTAAGTTGCAAAATCGTTTAACTCAGAGCTGTAAATCTCAATCTATATAATAATATATAATAATAACTGATAAATCTTATAACAGAATAGTTGTAAATCCTCGCAATATATTTTTTGTACGTCAGCGAAAACTAATTGCAAGCCAGTGTTGTAAATCGTTAAAAATGTTAATTTATGATATGAAAAACGAACGGAAATGAAGCTCTTTTTTGTATACATTGCGATGACCTAATTGTTTTTTATAGATTTTATATAATAATTTGTGCAGTCATTAAAAATTCTAAAGCTTGAGCCAAATGACGGATTGACGGATTGACTGACTGATCAACAATCTAAGCTAAGAATCTGAGCTTTCTTTTGGAAAAACGGGTGAAAATAGTTTGTGTGAAACTGGTTTGGTTTTCCCAACTTCTTGGCAAGACCTTCACAGTGTCCTCAATTCACAATCAGCCTCTTCGATTGAATAACCAAGGTCTCAGGAGTATTATTTTCAAAGCCTTAGCTCTGATATGTAGCTCATAAATATAGAGACAACATGGAGTAGTTTTCCACAGATCACAGGTTATCTATTTGCAATTTTCCCACTTTTAACAACAATTCCGAAAGGCTCTGCCATGCTGCCTAGCAACCTTATCTGTAGGGGAAATATTGTAATTCCCAATCTGACGAATTGTCAGTGGCCCGGTTCACAGTTCGAATCTTTCAGGAATCTTGGTTTTTATAGATTTCATTTTGTATTTATTTAAGTTTATTTAGTTTAATCTTACATACCCTTGCTAAACCAGAGTCTTCCTTAATGAAAGTTCTCAAACCGCCTTTTAACAAAACCGGTTCAAACCGATTTTCCCAATAATTTTTTATGGTAAACCGAGTCTTAAATCTGGGCATTTGTCCAAAAAGCTTTTCAAAAACCAAACCTTTGAACCAAAACCTGGGTTCGAGTAGTTGAAAAACGAGGTTTTCGAAAGAAACCCAAAGGCTTTACGATTTGAACCATCGACTTCTCTGCGGCCTTGCAGCCCTGTATGAAATGCCAGGACAGAGTCTAACAAAATGTTGCAATTGCATTTTTAAATACATGAAATGATGATAAATAGGCAAGTCCAAGTAATATACATATATTGTTGTTGTGGTTGATTTTGGACAACGGCTTCCTGTGTCCGTGTGTGTGTCTTGGCCTTGGCCAAGTTCAATGTTATCGGCAATTGGACACGCTGTGCTTTCTATAGCTTGGCTGCAATTGGTTTTATTTGCATATATTTTTTGTCAGTCAGTCCGTCAACTGTCGACGATCAATTCGAGACGCGCATTTGGGCTTTATGCCAAGCGCGGGAAGTGGGTGGGCTTGGATTGCGGTCTATTATGCGATACGACGATTCGAAACGCATTCGGAATGAATCCATTTGTATGCGAAAGACACTTGCGCAATCTCGAGGCAACTGAATATTGTTTTTGGCCCCTTTTTTTGCTTTTGAGATTGAATTCTAATTACGAGCGCAGTCTTTCAGAATCCAAATCCAAATCCGAAACGGAATCCAAATCCGAAACGGAATCCAAATCGGAATCTGAATCGGAATCTTAGTTTCGGTTGCGAAACTGTTGTCGCTCTTGGTTAGCACGCAATTGTGCTAATTTTCTCCCGACGACCTGTTTGGATTATCGTCTATTTGATTTGTTTAGTTTTTGTTTTTGTTTTTGTTTTTTTTTAGTGCAGAAAGCGGCCCAGAGAACTGGTTCTAAGCAAACATTTAGGTTGTTGTGCGCAGCAATGGAATCTTGTGGGGCAGAGCTATTGTGAATAGCCCGACCTTCGTTTCGATCACGTGTCCCAGATGTTATCGCCAGTTCGTGCTGTGCTCCAAAACTGGAGCGACTTAACATTTCCCTTGACGAGTCATAAATAAGTAAGAGTGCCCGACTGCGAAATACCCTGTGCACAGAATTGTTATGCCGTCATATATACTGTATACGGAATAGTCAAATTAGATCTTACAATCGTTGATATTTATCGATTTTTTGATAGGCGGGAAGAAGTTTTCCTGCAAATTTGTTATCCCTTATTCTTTTCACACCAAAAAATTATTGATTCTAATTTAGTATATGTAAATGTTTGTATATATTCAATCGGGTATCGGGTTCGGATATTGGGTATCGGGTATCGGTTATCTTCTGCCCGTTACATACATCATTATACCCATTTTTGTTAGTCCACTGTTCACTGCATACAGGGTATAGAAACTTGTCGCAGCCCGTTGCAGTTAAAAGTTTAAGCGCAATGTTAATGTTAATGTTAATGTTAATTTACATGCAAACGTTAATCATGGATGACCTCTCTCATTCAGAAACGCATCCGCATTAACGCTCTTGCATTCTCGCTCGCACGCACACACGCACACACGCACAATTCAATTCATTTATTTAGCTTACGTTTTTCGTTTCGCTGTGTTTGTTGTTGTTGTCGTTGCTGCTGCTGCGCTTCTTGGATGCTGCAGTTGCCGGTCAGTTGCTGCTGCTGACACACCTTTGCGTGTATGTGTGTGTGTGTGTGTTTGTGTTTGACTGTAACACTTAGCAGCTCACTGACGGATCCAGACTAAATGCTGCCTTTGTGTCGCTTCAATTTTTATATAAAACCCAGCCAGGCAACTGTGCCGAGGGCCGTTTCCCGATAAAAAATAAATACAACAAAAAAAAAAACCAAAATAAAACCAAACGGAACAAAATAATACACGCACACACACTAAATCAGAAAAAGAGACCGAAAAAAATTAATAAAAAAAAAACAAACGTTAAACAGAATTACAACAGAAAGTGAAAAAAAAAAGCAATTTTGGGAAAAAAAAAATTGCGCTGCTGCCTGACGACCGATCTTGGAGCGATCGGCGCGTACTGAATGAATTGACAACAACAGTAGTCGCAGCAGCACTAGCAGTAACAGCAGCAGCAGCAGCGGCGGCGCAGCAGGCAGAAAGCAGCAAGCAGCAGCAGCGACGCGCTTACAGGCAGCGCGAGAGAGTCACGCATCAAAAAAATTAAAAAAAAAAAAAAAACATGAACCAACAACAATAAATTTGTGAAGCCTGTGCATATGTGCGCATGTGTGCGTGTGTGCTGCTGTCAGAGTAATTTTTTGTTGTTGCTGCGCCTACACTCTTCCCATCTCACTGCTATGCAATGCAAGTCAGCGACATTGACTCTCTTTTGCGTCGTGCTGTAATGTGATGCGTCGCTGCGCCCGCTGCTGCTGCTGCTGCTGCTTATGTGTCCGCTGCTGCTACTGTTGTTGCATTTCGTGTGCTTTATCAAAAGTCAATCTATTACTCACACAGACACACATGCACATGCATAGGCACAGTCAGTCGTGCAGTTGGCGTCCGTTTTGCACTTTGCACTTGTACAGGCAACAGTTTGACAGCCACATCGCAACTGTTAATGGTTTTTTTTTGTTTCTGCTTTTAATGTGTATCTCCAGCTTTGCATTGAAAGCCACTCGCTCGCAGCGCTCAGCGTAACAGCACGGAATAGTCCATTCGAAATTAACACCTCTATTTCGGGCACGAACGCCTGCTCTGGCTTGATTTGAGCACAGTGCATTTCATAAGTATTCATACATGTATGCATGCATATCCAATAGTCATTTTATATGCATATGTGTCTGTATGCACTTCCACTATTTATCATTCTTGTCATTCTTGCTTGGTTCACTTACTCGCCTCAATAACTTGTGCAATTCATCATTTAAAATTGAATATTGGCTATCTTTTTAAGTGAGAAAAGTAAAAATAAAGTAAACAAACTGTCATCACAGATATAATTTGTACACTCTGTGCACACATTGTAAAACGATAACATGCAACCTTTAGATATACATATATACCATATATATATATGTATATACTCTCACCAGTTTAAAGCTAGAACTGCTAATGTCTGAAATACCTGACAATAATATTCCTTCATAAACAGCACAAATACGAACAAAAAGTTTAATGACTTTAAAGAACAGTCATCATTGTTGGAATGAATTTACCAAATGACTCATTACAGGATGATACTTTTGATACTGCAAATAACATAACACAATAATGTTAATGTATAACATAATGCCAAGCCATAAACAATCTGTTGCTAAGCCGAACTTTTAAGACTCGACAAATGCAAAAAAAAATTAACTAGGAAAACCTACAGCTAGATAGCTATAATTATTGAAATATTAAGCATAATCTTTTGATCAGTGGTTTTACCTGCTGACCTCAGAGCTGGGAAATGCATGACTTATCTGTGAGTGAGTGCAAGAAGCAGCAGCGATACATGCAAGCTTACTGAGATGCATGTATGCGTATACATATATTTGAAAGGCATTGTGCTCTGTTGTAAATTTGATTCAATTGCTGCACACACACATGTCAAACTGTGCAGATGTATGCATGTATGCGCGTGCGTGCGTGCGTGCGTGATTATGTGTTTTTCAATATGTCATTTTGTATACACATACATCCAACTATTACAAGTTTTAAATGTACATATATATGCATGCATACATGTGTGTGTGTGTGTGTGTGTGTGTGTGTGTGTGCGCGTATGACGGCGCAATTTTTGACCCACTTGTTTTTACTTTCTTTCGCCTTTAATGATGATCAACATGGCCCCCACCAATTAAGTTTGTTTTTTTTTTTCTTCTTTGTAGTTTATAATTTGTGCTTCTTCTGCTGCTGCTAGCTGGCTTTTTTGTATTTTGCGTATTTGTTATTGTTGTTGTGCTCATTTTGTTCCGCTTCTGCATACGATTTTCACTTTTGTGTGTGCTACCCTTTTGGGAACTGTAGCAGCAGCTTTATGTGGTTAATTTAATTTCAAACAATCGACAGTCGAGAGCTTCATTCAATACTCGCTTCATGCTTGACCAAGAGAACACACGCACGCACACATACAGGCAGGCACATGCACACACACGCACAGACGCACACTTGAACAATAATCTGTGCGAATTGTTTGCTTTTCGGCTCATTGTTTGCGAATCTAGGGTATTTTGTTGGCCGTGCATATCTGTTTGCCTCTGGCCGTTCTTCAGCAGGTTTTTGTTTTTTTTTTTTTTTGTTGTTTTCCAGCGCTTAAATCACTTTCTTTGCGCGCTTTGAGCTTTGGCAGGCCTTTCGCCTGATCCGCATAATTTCTATATATGCATGTTAAGTAAATAAATAAATGAATAACATCTTGGTGCCCGTCGTCGTCGTCGTCGCGCCATTTGTCGTTACATTTTTTTTCCCCCATTTTTTCTTTACTAGTTTTCAAAACGCGATTGAAAGTGAAAGTTCCACCCAGTTCAACTAGCTGTCCGGCCAACGCTCGCACTCGCGCTCGCGCTCGCTCTAGCATCAGCTCTTCTGCTCTGCTTGCTCTCTCGCGCTCTTTTACAGTTTTTTTTTCTTCACTGCTTTCTATTTTGGGTTTATTTTGAACATTTGTTTGTTGTTGTCAGCAATTTGACATTTTTTGGTCGTAATACAATTGCGTTTAGTTGGACCTCAGGAGTTTTCCAAGTTTGCCACAAAACGCTTGTGCACTTGCTGAATATTTATTTATTTATCAAGATTTAATTGTACTGGCTTTTCTGGCTAAACTCTGTTGAGTTATGCTTTAAGTGCCTCGCCTAAAAGCATGCCACAGTTTTTGCCCTGCGAGCAAGCAGTTCAAACTCCGCCGTTGATCGTGGCCGTGGCGGGCTTATGTCGTGAGGAAACAACTTGTGTTTTTGTTGAGATTGTAGATAATTCAATTAAACTAAATTTGACTATTATGCAAGACTATGTAAATAGTCAGTAAAGCTGAGAAACTGAATTGATAACACTTAAAACTTTCTTATGATAAGGTCATAAAAAACCACAAGTTGTTGCGTTAAAAAGCAGATTTTGAAAAAAACAAAGACGAAAAAATGCCAGAATTCAAATAAAATTTATTGTTATATTATGAATCAAGTTTTCATCAACAAGTTTGTAGGATTTATGAATCAGCTCTCTTTAATTAGGAATTAGCCGGGTCGTTAAGGGGGAAAATCTTTCGTCAGATATAAAAGATCATATGGGCTTTATTGAAGAAAATAGATACAAGTGCTCTTATAATATTCGAATGACAAAATAAGTGATAAAGAAATAAATAAGTTAAATAAATAAGTGAAAAATATAATAAATAATCCATAATAAATATATATAAAAAAAAAAAAAATAGTCGCTAAAAATAGTTCTCGTGTTGTCAGTTCAGCTGTTGAGCTATGGTCTTGAGAAATTCGTAGGCCTCCTCCCCGGACTCGAGTATGTAGTGCGGCGGCATAAGGTAGCCATAGCGACCCTGATCTTTAAGGAACACATTGTACACATATTGCGGCTCAATGTGCTGTTGGACCCAGTCGGCCGCATTGCCCGATCGCGCCAGCTTCTGGCGATAGCTGCTGCCCATGCTGTACTCGGCATGGTTGAGCCGGCGAAAATTGAGGATCGCCTGGCGGGCCGTGTGGCGCAGCTCTCGCTGATTACTGGTCACATAGTCAGCATCGCCCCAGGGATAGGTGATCGCCTGGCCGTAGCCACCGAAGGACACATACGCGCCCAAATAGTCGCGCATACCGAGCAAAAAGTTGCGTATGGCACGCGTCTCCGGCTCGGAGAAGCTTTTCGCGCCGTGGTACAGATTCTTGCATGGATTCGACGTGGAGCCCGCCTGGCCCCAGCCATAGTCAAAGTTGCGATCCAAGTTGACGCCATAGCAGCCGCTGGCGCTATCGTAATTGCGGTTCTTGGTCCACAGGCGATCGGTGAGGCGCGAGTACTGATAGCCATCGGGATTAGCCAATGGCAAAAAGTACCAATCGATGTGACGCATTGCTTTATCCGCCTCACCCTGCTCCCACAGCCAGCTTAGCTTCGAGATGGCATAGGTCAGCGCTGCAGGGCTGAGCCAGTCGCGCGCCTGCATTCCGGCATCCACAAAAACGGCCCAATTATTCGAATTGCCATTCGAGATTCTGTGGAAAGAACTTCTATTATTGACAGTAAAAGTGTAAGATCAAGAGTGTTAGAGTAATAGGAGTTGTTACAATATCGATTTAGCAGAGACCTCAATAGTATTCATAAACTGTAGCAGTAGCAGAGACAATAACATTAACAGAGACCTTAACAGTACTCAGTTCAAACTGTCACATTAACGTGAGCAATAATCTTAACAGTGCACACAACATTGAGTGTTTACAGACCTGAGCACCTCGACAGAGATCTAAATAGGGCCCATAACTTAAACAATCGAAACTGTAGCAGTTACAGTAACATAAACATGAACAGTGCTCTTAACAGTGCTCATAACATTAGGCGTGGAAACTGTGGCGACATCAGTCACATTAACATTAAGTCGAAACTGTAACAATAGTAGTGACAATAACATTACCATAGACCTTAACAGTGCCTATAACATAAACAGTAACAGAGACAATAACATGAACAGTAACCTTAACAGTGCACATAACATTGAATGTTTACAGACCTGAGCACCTCGAGCGGTCGCTTGTTGCGTGTGAGACCAATTTGCACGATCTCCGCCAGCTCGGAGTGCGTTTCCAATATATTCTGAAGGAACTGCTGCATATCGCCCTGATCGTGGTACCTTCGCCAGGTGAGCAGTGCACTCTCGCGGTTTAGCCAAGGCAGCGAGTAGTTAGCCAACGTGTTATCGGTATCCGCCTCGTTGACCTCCGTGTAGGTCTCATCGATGGCCGTCTCGATGTCATCGATCATGATGTTATAGCTGAAGGCGGTCTGCTCCATGTATTGCTGTGCGGCCGCCACATTCTTGTGCTCGATGATTATATCGATGCCATCCTGATTGATGTTCCACACCTCGCTGCCTGTAAGATAGACATTTTGAGCTGAACGATCGTAGAACATGTTTGTGGGTCTTGGCACTACCAAAGCGACGCAAAAATGCCCGCAGCTTCGGCTGGCCGAGACGCGTCTCATGCAGCTTCCACAGCTGATGGCCGTAGTAGCGACGCACGGATGCATCATTGCGATAGCGTCGATTGATCTGATACGTTGAGCCCGGCGAGAGGAAATCGAAGCGTCTCAGATCGGTGGGCGACAGCCACTGCAGACTCTCAAACGTCGCCTCGTACAGCTCGCTGCTGTTCAGCGTCCACAGCTCGGGCAGGGCCGCGAGAGCCGGCATCGGAACGCTGCGCCACAGTATTAACTGGGCACTGCCACGACTGCCGGCAGAGAACACCAACATCAAGAGTATAATCAACATCAACATCATGCTGATCGTGCCACACAAACAGAACTAATTCTCCACACTCTCGCATTTGCTGGCAGAAGGTCGAGATTCGCTGAATTTCTTGCTCTTTGATTAATGTCAATTTTATGCGTGAACAACACCTGTTGCCCGACCCGGCGACTAGCTGACTGGCTCACTGCCTAATTGACTGACTGACTGACTGACTGACTGACTGACTGACTGACCGAGTGACTTGTGGCTTAGTTTACTCACTGCCAGCGGCTGGGCGTTTGATACTATTTGACATGTTCTATTCTATTCTTTCGGTAAAGAGGTCAACAGCCCACCTCTGATCCCCAGTCTGTGTGTGTATTTTGGCTGAACTACAGTTAAGCGAATTTTTTGCTTTGCATATCTGACTGTTCGTTGGGGTTTTATGTTCTTCGAAACTATTATTACCTTCTGACTTTATAATAAGCTAGGCTTTTGATCAGGAAGAAAAATCAACAGCAGTCCAAAGGTAGCATTTTTTTTTTATTGTTTTTAAGAATATTATTCATTTGTCTAGTAAAAAATGCAGCTTCGTAGCTTTAACGGTGTGAGCTTTGCATTGATCATCAATCCGTCAATCAGTCAATCAGTTACCAAATAGTAAAATATATATATATCAACTTCTTGGTTTTTAATCAGAAAACAGGCAGTATGCCAATTTATTGTCCAGCTGCTTGGTCATCAATCAGTCAGTCAGTCAGTCAATCATTCTTCAAACCGTACAACATATATATTAAGAAATAATTGATGCCGTAAGGGCATTCACTCTTCGGCATTTTAAAGCGCAATTTCTTGGCTTCCAATCAGCAAACAGGAAGTACGCGAATCTCTTGACCATCTGCCTAATTAGAATGTCTGTCAAATCGATTGATGGTTTTTTCAGTGTCTGCAGATGGTCTGATTGAAATCGAGATCCCTCAGGGGGTCTCTCTCCCGCTGCCAATTTCGCTACTCACCAAAGTCTTCCACGAATTGATTGAACTGGGCATCCGGCGAGCTATCGCCGCGCTTGCGTGTGCCATTGAAGTTGAGCTTCCAGAGTTGAGCGCCCCGATAGCTCACGTAGTTCTCGTCCAGCGCCATGCGCAGCGCCGAGCGACGTTCAATGCCGCCCGCCAGCTCCATGGGGCGCAGGTAGCGCAGCAGCTGGGCGACGCCGCCGCCAAAGAAGGGCAAACGCACCAAATTGTCGCCGGTGCGCGCAAAGAAATCGTAACGTGATGATGATGATGATGCTGCCAACAGCTGTGGCACGCATAGTGCAACGGCACACAGTGCGTATGCGTAATGCATTCTATTTGCTTGGCTTTTGCAAGCGTCCAATGTGCCGAATGTTGCCCGTGCGGCCGTTCGATACGGTTTGATCAAGTAACGGCTACTTTTCGCTGTTTTGCGTCTGTTCTCAATTCTTCATCACATTAACACACACACACGCACACTTACACACACACACACACACACACACACACACGCAGAATGGGCCACAAATTTGCATAGCTCAACTTTTACTTTGCTCGAAATGTTATAAATAACTGTTATACTGTTATACCAAGCCAAGCTATTTATACTTAGTTACACGATTCACCGCAAAAGTTGTTGCAATTCTCAGTCTTTCTCTCTCTCACTCTTTCTCTCTCTCTCTCTCTCTCTCTCTCTCTCTCTCTCTCTCTCTCTCTCTCTCTCCCTCTCTCTTAATACCCTGTACCTATTCATAGCTGTTCCTTCAATATATATAAATATTTGGATCAGCTTCAAGACCTTAACAAAATTCTACTTGAAGTTTCAGGCTTCTTTTCAAAGCTCGAAGCCTATACAAGACTAATATAGCAAGAAGATTCTTTTCGTTCAGATATATATTGTTTGGGATATATATATTTTATGTTTGTGGCATATGCACATATCTGAATGCCTTTTTAAAAGCTTGCCAACTTTGTTTTCAAAGTTGTCAAAGAACGAGCTTTAAATTGTGATCGTGCCTTTGGTTAGTCACCTTTCGTGACCTTTGCACATTCCGAGCTAGGGTATTTACGTTTTGGAATGCGCTCTTAATATGTTTTCAGAGATCGCGCCGATAATTGTGTTCGTCGTGGTATTTATTAACGCTTGACCCGAAATTCGTGTTCAGTTTTGTTTGAAATCGATTAATTGCGTTCATTTATTTAAATTCCAATGTGATCTAAGCTCAAATAGATAAATGAGCTCAAACTTTCTCACGCTCGGTAATTTGTTGAATCTTTCAAATTTATGGCTAAGATGCCACAACAAGAAGTTTTAATAAGCGATTAAACAATAAACCCAGCTTGAAATATCTATTTTATATAACAGATAGTTATTTAGTTTTGAGCGGGTTTCCATTTCTTTACTCTTGGAGATTCTGGTTATGGACAGAAAAAGTAAATGACTCAGGATCCTAGGAGATAAAAGAACTACAAACTCTCCAGGTTTTACCTCTCATGTACCACAACTCGATGATCCCGTAACTCCCAAGTTATATCTAGTTTTTTTTTTTTTTCAATAAACATGTCTCAGTCTATTTTGAAATGTTCAATTTGTCTAGTTACAAATAAATAAATAAATAAATAGTTTCGTATAAATAACATTCAAAAAAAAAAAAAAAATGATTGAACGCAAAAAAAAAAAGTCATATTAAACTAAGTCTAAGTTCAGGCAACTAGCGAGTGCGGCGGCGACGGCTGCTGCTGGAGCTGGAGCTGCTTCTGGCATCCGTTGTGCGTCCCAGGGCAACAGCGCGGGCGACCGTATCGGCGAAGGTGTAGCCATCCTTGCCGTTGTACTGAATGAACTGGGCGGGCAGGACGAAGCCGTAGCGACCCGTGTCGCCCATCTCGATGGTGTAGGCATACTTGATGCCCGCAATGCCCTTGGCCCAATCGTCCGAGCCGCCGGCGGCCGGATAGAGCGTTGTGGCCGAAGATCCCACCGTATACTTAACGCCCGACGACTTGGTGATGATCTGTTCGAGGCGGAAAATCGTAAGAGTTCAAGCGTTTGGGATTAGCTGGAGCAGTTACTTACCGAGCCGGCTTGGCGTGCCACACGATCGAGATCGGCGCGATCCTTGGTCAGATGATAGTCATAGCCCCAGGGATAGAGTATATATTGGCCGTAGCTGTGGAACGACAGATACGCCTGGAAAGTGTCGCGCGGGAAGCCGCTTATGAATTTCGATATGTAGAATGTCTCCGGCTCCGAGAAGGCCTTGCTGCCGCGATATGTCTGCGAGCAGGGACTCGCCGAGGTGCCCTTGCCGCCCCACTTGTAGCCGAAGTTACGATTGAGATCGACGCCCGGACATTGGCGTCCATGGGCGCGCATATTCTTGCGCCACAAACGGTCCGTGGTGTGGGAGTATTCGTAGCCGTCGGGATTGGCCACCGGATGGATGTACCAGTTAATGTTTCGCATATGCTCGGGCAGATCCTCCCAGCCCTCGACCAACTGATTGGCTATATAGGTGACCGTTGCGGGACTGATCCATTCGCGTGCATGCATACCGCCATCGATCCAGATGCTGGGATTGCGTGCATTTCCATTGGAGATTCTGCAAGGAAAAGCGAACATTTAAGACCTGGTGGACGCTGCAGCAGCTCCTCGTCGTCGGAGAACTTACTTGAGTATCTTGAGCGGACGCTTCTCTACGGAGTGGCCGATGGTTTCGGTGGAGCAAATGTCCGGATACGTTTTGGCCATGTAATCAATAAAGCCGTGAATATCCTCCAGGCGATGATAGGCCTGCCAGGTGAGGCGATGTCCTGCGGAATATGAACAGAATATTGCCAGACTGAGCGAGCGTATGCTAACTAACTATGGCAACCCCAACCGAGCAGTTCATTCAACCTGACCTCGCCCCCTCCCTCGAATTACGAACCTCGAAGGGCAAGTGTCAAGTGCCTGAATATAGCTTGGCGATTGGGAGAAATGGCTCAATTCCTGCACCGACTCAAGGAAATTGCGTGTCCTGCCGTTTATTGATTAAACAAGTGTCTTGCAAGTTCCTACCCCTGCCCCTGCCCTTGCCCATTCCCATCTCAGTCAAGGCGTCGCGGTGCGTTCCAAGTTCATGGCTAGCTTCAAGTGCAGCCAAAAGAGGGCGGCTTGTGGGCGTGGCGGGGCATATCAAAGCTGTCACAAGTGTTCCGCCGTCACTCAGTTAACTGTCGCGATGTCTCATTTCCTTTTGCAACCCCTTTTGCCAAGTCTTGCTTTACCTTCAACAACCTTCACACTCTGTTCGTTCTGTTTTTATACCCCTTCAAAGTTGGTCGAGAAAAAGAGGGTATCATTAAGTCGATAGTCGCAGCGGGCCCCATAGAGAAAAAGACTTTAAAGGCCAAAACCTATTAACTGTTATTTCGATAATTCCTATTATATACGAAAAAGTAAAAAAATATCGATTTGTGGAGTCAACTTTTTATCGATAGTTAGCCCCCTTCACTTTCGATAATTCATCGATATCTGATTTGTAAATTATATGCAAAACATGTTGCAGCTTTCCTAGCGATAATTCACCGATAGTTATCGATTCACTTTACAATAAATATCGATTGCTTACTTCGGCTAAGTTTGTTACAGTTGCAGATTTTCTTGAGATAATTCTTTACGTTTTTACGAAACCGATAATTATCGATTCGCTTTCGATAAAAATGGACTTCGGACCTCGGTCCGAAACATATTATATGCAAAACATGTTGCAGCTTTCCTTGCGATAATTCTAGGTATCGATTCACTTTCGATAAATATCGATTTCTAGCTGCGGCTAGTTTGGCGACTCAGTAAAGAATCTGTGCCTTGAGTACAGGGTAGCGTCTGGTCGGTCTGCTTGCTGTCTTCGTCTGCGCCTTGCTTCTTGATTTCGTGTCACTTGTCGCTTTATGACTTTTCACACGCCCCAACCGTTGGCTGCATTAAAAGCTCATTTATGGCGACACCTGAGCTCAAGGCGACCGAAAAAAAAAACACTTGCGACAAAATCGGCCCTTCCCCCAACTTTGCACTCACCCTTTCGATTCTGGAGCTCGGCAATTTTGTCAGCGGGCGGATTTTCGACTTCGATAACCTGCTGCAGATTATCGATCAGCACGATGCGCGACAAGTTGGCGGCGCGTATGTGTCGCTCGGCAGCGGCGAGCACCTGCGGCTTGAGCAGGTAGTCGACCTCCTGCTTGACCTCCTTCCACAGTTGTCCGTCTGTGGGAGAGAGAGAGAGAGAGATTGTGGGTTATTCAATTGCCTGGCATGTGGAATGTGGCATGTGGCACTTACCATATTTCGACTGCAGCTCATCGGCCAGCTTCTTATCCTTATCCGTTTGCACCACAATGCGCCAGAGTTGGGCGCCATCGTAGCGTCGCAGTTGGGCACTGAATGCGCTCTCTGTGGCTGTCTCCTGCTCCAGATCCTGTTCGGGCATCTGATCCTGCTGCTGCTGCTGTGGCGCAAACGAGGCATTCACATAGTTCAACACGCTGTCCACGACCTGAATGGGTTCCGGTTCCGGCTCTTGGATCAGCATTGGCAACTGCGGCGGCACTGCGACTGGTATGATGGTCGTCAGGATCGATGGCTCAGACTCGGCCTGGGGCTCAGCTTGGGGCTCAGCTGCCTTATCAGCTTGAGGCTCGTCTTGGGCTTCAGGCTGAGCCTCAGCTTGTGGCTCTGCCGGAGCTGCAGCAACTGGCGCAACTGCATCGGGCATTTCATCAGCCAGAATGGATGGTGGCTGGCTTTCCAGCTCTTCCACAGCTGGCGCCGTTTCCTTGTGCATCTCGGTCTCAACTTCAGCGGCCGGCTTGCTAGCTTCCTCCTCGTTCTGCACGACGGGCATACTAAGGATTTCCATGGGTTGCGGCTCCTGTTCAGCATCTGCCATTGGTTCCAGCTCGGCGTCCACTGGAGCTCCTTCCTCTGGCACTGGCTGTTCGGCATTTGGCTGCTCCGCGGCATCATCAGCCGTTGGCATGGATTCCTGCTCCAACTGTTCAGTTGCCGCTTCCACGATGAGCTCGGGTGCTGCAGTTTGTGCCTCCAGCTCGACTGATGGCTCCTTGGCTGGCTGCTCATCCTGTTGGGTTTCGGCCACGTTCAGCTCCTCGGGCAGCAGCTCGCTCGTGGCTGCGCTGAGGCCTTCCTCAATGCCCGCCGCCATGCTTTCCAGCACGGTTGATGACTCGGTGGTGTCCACTTCGTTCTCGGCAATTGCTTCTGTTTCGGACTTGGTCTCTTCTGGAGCCAGCTGCTCCTGCTCGGGTTGAACCTGTGCCACCGGCTCCGACTCCGACTCCAACTCCAACTCTGGTTCCGGTTCCGACTCTTGTTGCTCTTCTGGCTGACTTGCTTCTGCCGGTTCCTGATCTATGGCAGCTGGCGTGGTATATTCCTCCTCGGTTGCAGCGGGCACCACTTCATCATCCGCTTGTGTCTCCTCATTGGCCGGCACTGCCTCGGTGGTTGCATCTGCCATAGCCTCAGCATTCTCCAGCTGCGCCTCCTGGCTGCTTGACTGCGACTGTGACTGTGCCTGTTGCTGCACTTGCTCCACTGACTGCTCCACTGGCTGCTCTACGACATGCTCCTCAATCAGCTCCGGCGATGCAATTTCTGCTGCCACCGGCTCTGCTGCTGCTGCCGCCTCTAGCTCCAGTTCTGCTTGTGCTGTCTCTGTCTGCGTCTCGGTCTTTAGCTCCGCCACGGTTATATCGCTGGGCAGCTCCACCAGCTGCATGGCCGGCGTATCATCGCTCTCCAGCATCAGCATATCGGCGCTCTCGCCAACGGCTGCATTCTCTGCCTCAGCCTCGGCATCGGCATCGGCATCGGCTTCGATGGTATTACGATGCACATGCTCCGTATCGTCCAGCTGGCTGGCCACTGATTCCGGCACCAGCATATACATATCCGTAGATCCATGCGCCGGCAGTGCGGCCATCTTCATGTCATCCACAACAAGTGTGCTGGCCGCACCTGGCTGCTGCAGTTCAGCAGCAGCGGGGGGCAGCTCGTTCCGTTCCAGGGCCAAACGATCCAGCGACATGGACGCCGCCTGGTTGACCGCCAACAGCAGCAACAGCAGAGCTGTTGTTGCCATTGTCATCATTGTTATTGTTGTTGTATTTGTTGTTGTTGTTGCTTGAAATGCTGCTCTTGTTGATCTCCCGTCGTACATCTTAGCGAGATCTAACAGTAAACCGTAATGAGACATGTCCCATTGGTCGAGTGGCGCTTTTATACCAACGCTGGGAAAGTATTGCCATTTCATTTTCGATATTTCTCTCGGCGGCGCAGTCAGCAGCGACGTCAGCTCCAAGCGAGTGTGTGTCTATGTGTGTGTGTGTGTGTGTGTGTAGCAATCGTGTTATGTATGTAAATTGCGGCGCTGCCGTCGCTCGCTGCTTGGACAGGCATCCAGCTCGCTGTCAACGCCAGCTGCGACGCGGGCAGCGACTGCGACGCGAGCAGCGACGCGTCTCTTCCTTGTGAGCCGGCGTTGCCACAGCGTCGCCCGCTTTTATCGGTTGCATGAATCTCTTCATAAATGCGACGACCGTTGTATATTATTGTTGTTGTTGCTGTTGCTGTTGCTGTTGTTGTCCGATCTTCTATGTTAATTTTGAGATCGGATCGCAGACAAATGTCGCCAACGCCAACGCCAACGGCAACGCGAACGGCTATGCCGCCCGCTCTCGCTTTCTTTCGGGGGTTGATTATAATAATTATATTTTTCCACAGCGTCTTCTTCTTCTTCTTCATATTATACTCATTCATTTGATAATAAATAATGTCCAAGCGCAAAGCTTGTGCTTAGAATCTGTACCTTCATTTTGTTAAATAATATTTATAGTTATCGTTATGTTATCTCAGGGGGAATCCCCATCGTGCGCTTTCTTTGTGATTTATAATACATTGTAATCAATATATACATACAATAATGCATTAATATAGGTATATATCGATATACGGAGATCATGTGTGGACTCATATGTATTTAATCATATAGGACATTGGGCATAATCGGATTGTTTTTAAATTTGCAGAAGCCTTCACACAAATGACAAATAGCTCTCTCTCTACTCATATATATGATATATATATATATATATATATATATATATATACACATATATATATATATGTATACATATGTATATACGCTATTAATCTTGTCTCAGAGAGTTGCAAATGAATTGAATCAACAGTATTTATCGTTGTTAGTATTTATAGCTGGTTTAAGTATATATAAATATATTTAATCACCTGTTTCATTATCATGATTATGATAATTCTTGCTCGACTTTCTATGTGCACAATCAACGCCCACCCGACCAGCTGCTATCGAGATCTTCAATCGATCGAACTAGTTATCGATAACAAACCGATTTTAATTTGCAATTTGCAATTTGCGCTCAACGTGATGTGTTAATGAAGCCGCGTGCCAATTGATTTCTGGTTTATTGTTATTGTTTTTTCCATTGTTAATCAGCTTGTGGACTGCTGGCGGTTAAAGGGGTTTTGGAGAAGGGCAGGGTGTGGGGGACAGAAGAGTTTGCACCTACAACACATGAAATACACATGAAATTGTCTCAGCTACTCTAATTGATTGATTGTTAATCTCGCCCATCTGTGAGTACTGAAAAGTTCGCAAGCTTTAAAGATTTCCAATTTGTACGCATTGACATGATTTCTGAACGAGCCAAGCACACACACACACACACACACAATTACACACACCCAATCAGCAGCAGTAGCAGTTGTTATTGCCATTACCCACGCTGTGCTCTGCTCTGCTCTGATCTACTCTCGCTATCCAATCAATCGCAGCTCAAATGCCGCTCCTTTCACTTTATATGACCACACACACACACACACACACACATATATATGTATGACATGTTGGTGTGTGCGTGTGTGTAGCTTATCAATTGTCAATTGAGGAAGAGCGAAGAGAGTTGAAGTAATTGCAAATAATCAACAGTTGACTGAAGTAACCAATGCGAACAGCTGTCAAGTAGTGAAATTGTCCTTAATACTCATAAATACTCATTGATGTGCTCATATGTGGGCACAAATATATCTACTTAGCATTATGAGTATTTACAAGTAATTGTAAATGAGGCAAAGATTCATGTGTTTCGATTGCCGTTCGATCGTTCGAGATAAGCCAATTTTCCATCCACTTAAAGATTCACTTTCTGAATCATCGGAGAATCAACTATATATATTAACAAAATTAATATATGTCTTTTCAAAAATAAATTTAAAAAATATATATGTTTTTGTTTTAGACAGAAGCTATACAATTGCGAATCTTGCAAAATCCTTAAACATATTTTCTATCCGGAAATTTTCTATCGATTATCGATAATACTATCGACTAGTCGCTAGTCTCTAATAAAATTTTAACATAACGTACAAAGTATCGATAGATACTCCTATCAAGCTGGATTCAACACGAATGTGCCTTAAACATTCTCAAATTCTCTGTTAATTTTAAAAGGTTTTTCTTATTTTTCACTAAAGCAACAATGTTATCGAAATACTATCGATAAAACCGAATAAACAAGAGTATTCCATTAGATTTGATCAAGAACCTTTTACAAATTCCGCCCAATATTTTCTTAGGCATTTTCGGTCTTCAGTGAGTTTCTTGTCAAACCCAAAATAGTTCCCCGTCTACATATCTAAAGAGTTATATTTCCCTAGTAATCCTCAAGTTTCTTTTTAACCATGGCATAGAATTCTGAGCTATTTCCAATTGTAGCATACTTTTGGCATAATCATTTCGTAAATTTAAGCAGGGCATCTGTTATTCCATTTAAAATCACAGCTGCTTCTCTAAATAACAGAATATTCGATATGATATTTTTGAAAGTTTGAGGAAAAGCTTTGTTCTTTTCCAATCCTTCAGTCGAAAAAGTTACGCGCGTCATTCACAAAATGCTCTCTGAAAGAAAAAACGTGTTAAACTTATGCATAATTTTTGTAAATATTTTAGTTTTTTTGTTTTTCGTTTTTGAGCGGCTTTTAAATGAAATGGAAAGTGGGATTAGCTAGAAATATTGAAAGAAAAAATAAAACTAATATGATGCACGTACACATAAACATCATTAACATATGAGAAACAAAACCAAGACGAAGAAATATAAATAAAAAGCCCAAAATATGGGTTAGCTGGCGAGCTGACGAGCTGGTGAGCTTGCCTGGGGATGCGGAATGCAGCTACCAATATGGGGCTTTGACAGTTGCCTTTCAGATAGAATCTATCAGCCAAATGAGCAAAGCGATGAAAGCGAGAGTGTTGCCAGAGTGTTTCAAGTGGAGCGAATGGGCAGGCACGGAAAAAAAACAAACTTTGTAATGAGGCTTGAAAAAGCGCTGCACACACAGAGACACAGGCACAGCTCGGACAATGTGCGCTGCTGGAGCTGGGGGCGTGGGTGGAGACACGGTTGGGGACAGAAGGGACACACACAACTTTCTTCTTCCAATATTTCCGCTGCTTCATTGAGTGCATTGTTATTATTGTTATTTTAACAGCAATTGTTGTCGATGTTGTCGTTGTTGTCGTTGTTGTTGTTGCCGCACACCCACATCATTGTAATTATGTTCGTTGTAGTCTAAATCGTCATCGCTTACCCTTGTTAAATACATATTTACACTCACTCACACAACACACACACGCACACACGCACACACGTACACACGTAAGCGAGCGTAAGCGAGGGCACGAACCGAAGCACAGTGGTTCAAAATGCATTCAAATCTCTGCTCGGGTGTCTACTGTAAAATAAGAGTTGCAGTCACTGTTAAATTGCATCTACTGTAAAATAACAGTTCTAGTCACTGTTAAATTGCATCTACGCTTAAAACAACAGTTCTAGCCACTGTTAAATTCCATCTGAATCTATTACAATCTCTGCCCGGCCGCCTACTGTAAATTAACAGTTGTAGTCACTGTTAAATAGCCTCTACTGCAAAATAACAGCTGTAGTCGTTGTCCCTGCTCGGAGGCCTACCTATTCTTATTTCTTGACGTTGTTTTTGGTTTCTTTTTAAACCTTTAGTAATAATTTCTAGGCGACGGTTTATTACTATTAAATGACTTTCTTAGTTCTTGGGCTAGCTTTTTTTATAACAAAGTCTTCTAACTATGCTTGATATTAATTAATTAATATAATTATAATATTTTGGAAATTCATGCATTTATATTTACATTTTAAGTTATATTTATTGTTTAATATATTTATTATTATTTGTCTATTCATATCAAATTTTTGACGATGTTTTAGCCTGATTTGGCACTACTGTGCGGGCTGGTTGCGTAGCTGTTGCCGTTGTTGTTTCGACTGGTTTTCAGTTGTTGTTTTTGATTTGTTGTTATTTTTTTGTTTTTCGCCCGCCACTCCAGAGACAGGGCGGTCGTAAGGGGGAGGGGCTCTGGGGTCTGGGTTGGAGGAGGCGCGTAGAAACTACGCGCGCGCCGCTGTTGCTCATTGTTTGCCGGTGTTGCGGGTTGTTGTTGTTGTTGCTGCTGGTTGTTGTTGTTGTTGTATTTGTTATTGTTGCTATTTTGGCGGCGTTGACTGTTGCCGTTAGCACACGGCGCACTTGACACACCCAAAGGCGCCCCGGCACTTGGCAGGCGCACTTTCACGAATGCCGCGGCAACTGTTCGACTAATCCGCAAAAATTGAAAAAATAAGAAAACAAAAAATTAAGAAAAATAATTTGTCATTTTGCAGATGGAGGAGCTAACCGAAGCGGAGGACTTGGCCGCCGGCTCGCGGCGCAGCTCCGGGCAAGGCAATCCCGTCCAGCCGGCCAATCGCGGCGGACAGCTGAAGCCCATCGTCCCGATGGCCAGCTACAGCGAGAAGGCGGTGGGCAGCTCGCCCAAGCATCTGGTCAGCACATTGAGCTCGCCCATTGAGCAGATCGCGTGCAGCGTGTCGCGGGAGCATGCGCTCAAGAACGAGATCGACCAGCTGCAGGAGCAGCTGAAGGATACCGAGGAGCGCCTGGCCTCGGTCCGGCTGCAGAGCGAATCGCTCTCGCAGACACAGCGCGCGCTGCGCGAGCACAACGGCCGGCTGCAGGAGGAGTCCGAGATGCTCAAGCTGGACGTGCAGCATCTGCACGAATGCGCTGGCGTTTTGCGCAGCGAACTGCAGTCGGCGCGCCGGGATCGCGACGAGGCCATCCAGCTGGAGCGTTCACTGCGCGCCGAACTAGAGGAGGCGCAACAGGAGCGCCGGCACGCAGCCGATGGCAAGGAGAAGGATGCACGCATCATACAGGATCTGCAGCGGCAGTGCCGCGAAATGGAGCGCATACTCATGCGTAAGCATCCCGACTCTGTCTCGGCGCTGATAGGTGAGTCCACAACAGGGCCAATCCCCGCCAGCTTACCTATGTGTGTGAATTGCTTTGCTGCAGTTGCCTCGAAGAGCACGGGCATCTGCTCGCTGAACGACCAGGAGAACGTGAACAGCCGCAAGCTGCTGGAGCAGCGCATTGCCCAGCTGGAATCGGATGCCAAGGAGCAGGATCGCAAGGCACAGCAGATACTGGCCAATGTGCAGGCGCGCTTCAATTCCGTGCAGGCCAAATACGAGACGCACATTGCCGACCTGGAGACGCAGGTGCTCAGGTGAGTTTCTGTCTCTGTCTCTCCGCCACACACTTTCAGCGTGTCTTAACGCCCAAACCCTCCGCCCGGCAGCTTGCAGGAGATCAACACGAAGCTGAACGAGCAAATTGAATCCCAGGTGCGCACACTGGATCGTTTCATGCAGAAGCGCGCCGATAGATACTACAACAACTGCACCCAAACGGACGCAGTCGGCGCCCAGACGGACCCAAAGCCTCTTGGCCACAACAAGGCCATCCACACGGGCACTCAGACGCAGGCGAGCGATGCGGGCGCCATGCGGGATCACAGCACCAACACCATTGGCTGCCCCTCGCCCAGCATCAGCTGCCAGCAACATCTGCAGCAGCAGCTCCAGCTCCAGCAGCAGCAGCAGTTGCACTCGGCCGGCAGCAGCAGCACCAGCAGCACGGCCAACTCGACGCCGAACACGTCGCGTCCCAATTCGAAGCAGAGCGGCGCACAGCGACGCAATCCGGCGATTGCCAACTCCAAGCTGCCCATTTCCCAGTCCGAGTCCACATTATCACTGCTCAGCCATGGCCATGGCCATCTGCAGCCACCCGGCCACAAGGAGGACACACAGCTGCTCAGCTCGGTGCGCAGCATGCGCATCGACTTGGCCCTCAAGAACAAGGCCATGCAGCGCCTGACACGTGAGCTGGACGATTGCAAGAAGACCATCAGGAAACTGCAGCGGGAACGGGAGCGGGAACGGGAGCATGCGGGAGCAGCTGCTGCTGTTGCTAGTCCAGGTAAAGCTGCCTGGCTCTATGCACAGCGAGAGACTTTTGTGTGTGTGTCTGTGTGTGTGTGTGTGTGTCACTCGGTCGTCGTCATTGTTTTTGTTGTTGTCGTTTTGTAATTTATGGACTTTCTCTGCTCGTCAGCACGTACAAGACTTTAACTCGAGAGACACGCAAATAAATTGCTGGAATAAATCATTGCATGCCTGTCCAGCGCTGGCAGCCACACAACCCACCCCCCACCCCACCTGCCAACCTGGCGGCCTTTTGACCGCAACAACTTTTTGTTTTTTGCACTCATTTCAAATGGGCAACCTCCAAGCTACATGCTCCACGCTTCAAGCTCCAAGCTCGCCAGCCACAAAAACTAAACACGTTAACAACTTGCCTAGCTGCGTTCCCCTCCCCCCGTCCCCCTCTTCGGTGCTCCCAGGCCGCTGGCCAGTTGGTTATGTCACCTGCATGTGCGGGACGCGGCGGGGCGAGAGGGCAACTCGTTTTTTATTTACATTTCATCGATTTGAATTTTTTTGCTTAGTTTTTTATTTTGTCAAGAGAAAGAGAAAAAGAAAATTCGAAAGCGAAAGTCAAAGTCAAAGACGTTGTCTGCGTGGCGGCCCGGTTCAAGAGGCGAGCCAGGGGCAGGGGCAGGTGGCAGGGGGCGTGGCTAGCGCGTTGTCGTTTGCGCGTGCGCGCAGCGTTTTATAATTTCATGTCTTGTTAGTTGCTGCTGCTGCTGCTGCTTCTTCTTCTTTAATGTTGTTACATTTGCTGCTTGTTTATTTATTTTTCAACAGTGCTAATAATAGCCCAGCAACAACAACAACAGCAGCAACAACAACAACAACAACAACTTTGTTTTAATTTTCAACGCGTGTTCAAATGCAAATTTTGTTGGTTATGCAATCAGTCTCAGACTCTTATTTAATTATTAATGTTATTATTGTTGTTGTTGTTGCTTCTTTAAAGTTACATTCAATTTGGGATTTTATTTTGTTGAAAATTTCGCTTTGAAAAACATTTTTGGGGTAGTGCATTGAACTCGCAGCCCCGTGACAAGCCTCAATACCCTTTCAACTATTAAACAGTACACTTTAATCTGTTTAACAGTTCTCTGTCAACTATTTAACAGTACACTTTAATCTGTTTAACAGTACTCTGTCAACTATTTAACAGTACACTTTAATCTGTTTACAGTACTCTGTCAACTATTTAACAGTGCACTTTAATCTGTTTAACAGTACTCTGTCAACTGTTTAACAGTTCACCTTAATATGTTTAACAGTACTTTGTGTGTCTCTAGTGTTAACAGAGCTGTTAAATCAAGTCCACGAGCCCGAAAGGAATGTTAAGTGGTTCGGTTCACGGCACGAAACCAACTTGTGAAGCCAGGTTTTTGGTTCGAATCTTGCTCTTCTCAGAGCTCTTTTCCATCAATATACATAAAGGCAATTTAAAGCTAAAAAACCTAAGCGAGCTGGTTTTTCATTAAGACTTTATTCATTTATTATATATCAGATGGTTGCTCTAAGCACGATCGATAGGAATTAAAAAGAGAACGGCTCTCGATTAAATACCCTTGTGGAATTTCAGATACGTGAGGAGCAGCGTGAAATACGTAAATGCTGACTTTAATGAAGATATCTTAAAAAAACCAAACAGTTTGTCGAACGATTCTTTCTATAGTCCGATGCTGAGAGACTATTTTGCATAGAAACAGACTAAGGGACAGACAGACAGTCAAATGAACAGAGGGAAAGACGGATGGACAGATGGAAATGGCCATTCCGACTCGACTGTTGATGCTTATCACGAATATATACTATATGCTCTTTGGCAGATATTTCCTACTAGCACATTTTATGACTAATTTCTGGAATACTTTGTTCAATTAAAATTATATTTATTTTGAACATTTTTGTTATCCTCTTGCAGGTTCGCGTTTGGAGAACAAACTTCATGGCGGCGCCGGCGGCGGCATGTCGGCCAGTGGAGGCGCCGCCCAGCGACGTGGACATGATCATCACTATCATCAGCATTATCCGGATCATGTGCCAGCGACCACAGAGAATCAGGCGCTGAAAGAGGCACAGAACAAGTTTCATCTACTGGAGGCGGACTACAAAACGCTGCACGATAAGCGGCTGCAGGATGTGAGTGCCACTTGTTGCAGATCCAAAGGAAGCTACGTTCAACTCTATCCCTCTCTCTGTCTGTCTTTCTCCCCAGCTAAAGACCCTGCAGAGCGCACATGAGCGTGAGTTGGCCTCCTGCAATGAGACGGTGCGCATATTGCAGCAGCGTTTAAATGAGCGCGAGGAGGCGTTCGCCACACAGAAGCGCCGCAAGGTGCCCGTCGACTACTATGCCCTGAAGGCCAAGGTGGTGCACAGCATTGCCCTATTAGATACCCTTGAATTGAACAATTGTTGCCATTTCAGGTCTCGCTGCTCGAGCGGCGTCATTCGGAGCGGGAGGAGCGGCTGCACATGCTCGTGGAGGCGCTCAGCAAGGGTCGGCTCAATGGGGCTCTCGAGGATCTGTTGCAGGAGAACAACAACAAGTAGATTATTGGGCATAGTTGTAGTTGTCTGGCACAGGGATATTGTGACTGAACAAAAAGCGAAACTTGCACATTAGCGAGCTATCGATATCGTTGCGTTATCGTTATCGTTATCGCTATTGTTATCGTGCATGCAGAAAGCGAATCAATTGTTTGATTCGAAATGAAAAAAACCAAGCAAATCAAAATTCACAGAGCATTCGTTTTGTTATGCTTTAAACAAATTACATTTATGTTAAATAATAATTAATTTTTATATACATCGATTAAGATTTATCGATAGGTCGATAACAGTTGCAACACATGCGCAATTCCAGCCAAATTGTATGTTTATTTATATTTTTTTTTAGATCTTTAATAGATTCTCGAATAGATCTGAGTGTAGCATAAAGTTAAGATATAAACTAAATAGATCTCACTACAAAAGTAAAGTTGAAATAAAACAGAACTTGTTAGCCACAGCAGCCCCATCTTAATTGCGGGGGATACCTATAAATATATGTAGCTATTTATATATATATGCTAATATTTGGCATTATTCGAAAGAATTATAGTTAGGTTTTTGTAGAATTGAGTACACATTCAGTCAATTTCGGCATAGTTTCCAGTTTTTACCAAAACAGTTTGTATATATTATATTGAATGTGTTTTCGAATTGTTGCTGCGGGCATACAATTTTGAGATTTTAAGTACAGTACGTGAAAGCCCTCCGCTCACTGCCGCACGTGCAGCAAAGGTCAACTTTTAAACATGAGATTACAACAAATAATGAATAACAATAAAACTAAAGGTTATGCTAGTTCTTAGACAAAAGTAGGGCATAATTTAAAAATCATAAGTGTTTAAATTACAAATTTGACAAGAAACAAAAAACAAATTAATTCCGAGTTTACACGATTGTGAAAGAGACAGGAAACAGGGCAAAGAATGAGACAAAGAGCGAGCAAGCGAGCTATACGCATAGATTGCGCATGTCGGCACGAGTTGAGAATTATAAACTAAAAGTATATTATACATACACAATTTTGGATTACTAACAAGTTAAACGAGAGGGGCGGGGAGGGATTTCCAAATTCTGCCAGTGAAAGTTGTTGCCGTCAAAAATGCTGCAAAGCAATTGATATTGTATGGTCCATCCAGAAATATCGAGTATTAAACTTAAGAGCCATATGTTGTCTTGAGCAAAGCAAATGAACAAAATCTTTTCAATTGAAAGTATTATGTATTTAGCCGTTGGTATCATTTGTAAGCCTAATTCTAGCATATACTATGAGTATAGAACATATAGGAGGCCCAATTAAACTATTACCTAAAATGTATGTCCGTTACGAATCTGGTATCCAGCAATTTAATGTGTAGCTACCCATTGAAAGGGTGTGCCAATACTCTATAATAATATAGCATACCTATCTGTATTTCATCTAGTGAATTTAACCGTTCTTTCGCACAGTCTGGCTTAGTGCTTGCGCCCTGAACTGAGTACAGGGTGTGGTCATAGTCGTGCAGTGGCCGACTATAGTGTTTCTTACTAGTCTTAAATGTGTGTGTGCGAGTACTTAGTATGCTTTGCTACATCATTCTAATTGTAAACACTGAAAAAGTTATTTAAACAAAACATTCAAAAATCCTAGCCGAACCAAAACATGCATGTTTAAACTTCAAGTCAAATGTCAAATTGCGAAATGTACAACAAAAATTGAATTATAAATTTGAAAATACAAGAAGTTACAAATAAAAAGATTATTATCTAAGTGTATACAAAATAATATATATGAAACCCTTTTTATTTAATCTCGTCTCGTGTTATCTAGGGGCTGGCGTCATCAAGTGCCTGGTAAAGTTAGCAGCCACATACAATGCATGTTAAGATATTTGAATGCCAGCGTTGCCACCCTGTCATGCAGACAGCTATGGCCTTGCCACCCTAGCGCAATGTCAGAGAACTTTGCAAATCTAATAATAGAAACAATATAAATAAGCTGTTGAGCAAGATTTGGGTTATGTTTAGAAAAATATTCGAGTTGGGAAACGGTTTGAGAAAGCGTAATTATATTTGCTTGAGCTAAAATTATATACATAGAAAATACTGTACTCATATAATTATCACTATGCTTTGGGACTTAGCATAAATAATTGTTTGGGTCCTGCCCAATCCCGCCCATTCAGCATGCGATTCCAGCTCTAGTCGAGAACAGCTGGATCGGCCCACTATATATATGCACGACTGATGAAAAATCTAGGTATGTATCTAATTCGCATCGGACATCTATATAATATGGATAATTGGGTTTTTGAAGAAAATATATATGTAGCTGGTAAAGTCTGGCAAAGCATAACATAATAGTATATAACTGTAATCGGAAACGCCATCAAGCATAGGCCTCATAACATATTTGAGGGGTTCCATTTTGTGGCAGGTGGAGAACAGGTTTACCCGTTCGTCAGCTGTCAGTCCATGGAGTGAGTGGGCCTTGGCCGTGCGAGAATCAGTTCAACAGCACGTTTCGTTCAGTTTCGATCACACACCTAGGAGTTAGTTCGGATGATTCGAGAGTAAGAGCTTCCCAAAAAAAAAAAAAAAAAAAAAAAAACACAACAAATAGTTATAAGAAAACACAATACGGAAGGAATTGACAAACCAGACAGCAAAACGTAAACTCAAACTTTTCGTTTCGATTGGCTGTCGGCGAGAAGCGGAGGCCATGGCTGAGAATTTGCGCAGAGGCAGACGCCGACGCATCGAGCCGTCGCGCATACAGTACGGCGCCTGGGATGATCCGCGCGTGTCGCTGTTCGCGACCGTGCCGCAGGAGCCGGTGGGTGATATGTTGGGGCGCCTAAAGCGCCTGCCGCCGGGTAATCGGGATCGGGCCAAGGAGGTGGATGCCTGCCCGTTGGTATTGGCCACGTCGACATCAACGAATCGCCTCTACCGGGAGGTCAAATACCAGGTGCAGCAGATAGCCGATGATCGCAACAAGAACTATCATCCGATACAGGAGCGGGAGCGCCAGTCGGCGATCATCGCACGCATGATGGCCGAGCATAATAGGCGGGAGTGTGCGGAGGCGATGCGCCGCAAGCAACTGCACGATAACTCGCAGAGGCTGCGCGATCTCAAGATTGAAATCGATCGGGCCAAGACGACGCTGAGCGTGGTAAAGAAGCGCAACGATAACATACGCCAGCACGGCGCCGAGCGAGCCGACGAGCGCAAGGAGGCGCTCGAGCATAGGGAGCAGGTGCGCGTAGAGAAGCTGGCCGAGCAGCGGGCGCTGCAGGAGAAGGCGCACAACTACAGCGAACAGCTGGTCGCCCAGATACGCAAACTGCAGGCGGAACGGGCGCAACAGCAGCTGACCGACCTGGAGGAGGGCCGCCAGAAGCGTCACAACGACGAGATGGCGCATGCCAACGATCTACAGCAGGCGGTCGAGGAGCGTAATAAAAAGCGAATCGAGCTCAAGCAGATGCTGGACGAGTTCTCGGCGCTGCAGCGCAGCATACGCGAGGCGAATCCCGACAAGCCGGACAAGCTGGACGTGATCGTGATGGAGGCACTAGGCCCGGTAACCGGCAGCTTTATCAAAAAGGAGCTGCAGCGTCGCCTGGACGATATTGAGCGGCGTCGCCTGATCAGTGACGGGCTTGGGCAGGAGCTGAGCGAGATTCGTAGCAAAAAGGATGCGCGCGATAATATGCTGGCCGACATTTTGATATGCGAGCGGCAGGCGCGCGAAAAGAAGCGCGCCCATCAGGACATACAGAAGCGTCACAACCAGAAGCTACAGGTGGCCAAGGATCTGATCAATCAGCGCAAAGAGCAGCAATTCTATCGCGAAAAGGACGAGGCACTCGCCAAGACAATCAAAACCGACGCGACCAGCTTCATGCAGCGCCAATACCAACAGGCCAGCGATAAGGAGGCCGCCAGCCATGCCATCAGCGCAAGGACCTACGACGGCATCGCTGCCGACATTGTGAACAATGCGCGAGTCCGTGCCGCTGCCATTGAGGAGGAGCGCATGATCAAGCAGGCCCTCCAAGACATGGAGCTGGACATGGAGCGTCGCATCGATGAGGAGCGCATGCGTGTCCTTCACGCCCAGTCCCGTGACATCATCGACGAGGTGCGACCCTGCAAGCTCAACCACGTGGAGCGCCTCACCTTCAATTTGCCCGCATGCGGCATAAACAGTGAGGACACCCACACCCACTAAACGCTCTAACTAACCAACTAACTAAACTGGACTAGGCTAGGTAGCTTATCAATTGGTTCAACTGGTTCCGTGTATACACTAACTATTCCACACAGAACTATAAATTATTCAGGCAGTTATTGCAAGCTTCCAAGACTCATTAAATACATAAATATATATTTGTTGTACGTGCAATTAACTTTTGTTTCTCTCTCTCTCTCGCTCTCTCTCTTTCCCTCACGCTCTCTCTCTCTGCATACTCTCTGCATAAATTGCCCGGCGCTGATTACAGGGAATCGCCTAGTCGGGCACTAGCAATTAGAGCTGGCCTCAAATTAAAATTTGTGCTGAAAATGTTGTGGCATACTTTTAGGCTGCGACAGAACTTACTAAGTGGACATTTGGTTATATATAATTGGCTTAATCTGCCAATATTAGCTAGTAGCATTTGATATCAGATTCAATTAAAAGCAAATCGTACGAATTCAAAAAGGTTGAACATTTCAAAATCAGACAATATTTACCCGAGGTATTCAAAAAATCTTTAAACGAGTTTACCCAAATCGACAAAATGCAAGGGGCTACATCACGTTTTTTCTCAAAATCTTACATAACGTTTTTTCTCAAAATTTACATTTTTACCCAAATCGACAAAACAGCAGGGGGTTACATCACGTTTTTTCTCCGCCGACATATCTTCGCCATAATCAACGGGGGAGCTATGTCGTTTTCAAACGTCATATCTAAATTTTTACCCAAATCGACAAAACAGCAAGGGGTTACATCACGTTTTTTTCTTAGAAACTAAATTTTTACCCAAATCGACAAAAATTGACAATAAAGCAACGTTTTTTGTCAAAATCTTATAAAAAATTTTTCTAAAAATTTACATTTTTACCCAAATCGATAAAACAGCTAGGGGTTACATCTCATATTTTCTCAAAATTTCGTTTTTTACCCAAATCGATAAAACAGAAAGGGGTTTACATCACGTTTTTTCTCAAAAACTAAATTTTTACCCAAATCGACAAAAATTGACAATAAAGCAACGTTTTTTCTCAAAATCTTATATAACATTTTTCTCAAAAACTAAATTTTTACCCAAATCAACAAAACAGCAAGGGGTTACATCACGCTTTTCTCAAAAACTAAATTTTTACCCAAATCGACAAAACAGCAAGGGGAGCTATGTCGTTTTCAAACGTCATATCTCCGCGCGGAGATATGTTGTTCTTAGAGCGGCGGAGCTATGTCGCTTCAAAACGACATAATTTCGCCATTATCAACGGCGGAGATATGTCGTTTTCAAACGTCATATCTCCGCCGCTCTAAGAACAACATATCTCCGCGCAGAGGTATGACATTTTGATATGTCGTTATCCAATTTGTGGAACGTGTGCTGAGAATGTGTGGGATCTGTTTACAGCAAAAGAACCCAAATTTTATGTTGCATACTTTTGCGCTGAGTTTAAATAATTGTTGAAATGAAACGCTGTTGCTTTTTTTTTATTTTTATATTATAGCTTTATTTGAACTTAACATAAATTTACATGAATATTTTAACTTAACATAAATTTATATGAATACTTACAAACTACGTATTCTACTGGGAAGTCTATTATACAAATTGATCTGGGAGATCGATTGGGTGAGACCTACTCCTGTTTAGAAGACGTCTAGCCAGACGATTATGATGGTTTCCCTGGTAAATCGCGCTTTGTAATTTGCAGTCTGTATATTTATAACGTCGCCGACTTTCCTCTAGGTGCGTTTCCGAATCGGAAGTTTTCATATACCAGGGGGCACCAGACGGATATCGGAGCGTTTTTGCTTGGAACACACTGATTTAAACGCGATCATTTTGAATGCTCCAATTCTCAGCTCAAGTAACGTGAACTATGTTTTTGCATTAAATGACTTTGGATTTAGTCTGCTGACAATCCCCTGAAATGGATGTAAATACCCTTGTTATGCACATAATGTATCTATTACCATATATATATTTATAATTGAGAATAGTATATTGAATTAAATTGAACGCATATACTTTTTGTTTTTCTCGCTTTAGGCGTTTGTGTTTTTTTTTTTTTTTTTTTGATTTTTTATTATGCTTTGATTTGGTTTAATAATATGATAAGGTTTAGTTTTCGTATACATATAGGTTTTGTGTATAGATAGTTTGACTAATAGCTAGACACAATAGTTTAGTCACAGCTTGCTCTGCAGCACACCTGGCTGCTTTTACCTCCAACATTTTTACAAACAGATAACTTTATAAAATACATTCCAGAAATGTGTCTTAGCGCTTTTGTCAAACTTGGACTCGACTCTGGCAACTTATTGACTAATAAATGCATTTGCCTCCGGTACGTTTCCAAAATTAATTAGTTTTTGTTGTTGTTGTTTTTTTTTTCTTCTTTTCTTTCCTCTTAATATTTTTTTTTTTTCTTTTTAGGTCTGCGTCTTTGGATGCTCCAGAACCTAACTTTTGATATGAAATTTTTTTAGCTTTTTTTTGTTTTTTTTTGTTTTATTTATCTTTTTTTTTATTGTTTATTTTCGTTCGATTTTCGTTTGATTTGGAAGTAAAAGCATGCAAAAGGCATTCATAAATCTTTTGAAATTTCATTCTAGCAAAATTGCTCTGTCTCTGATCTGATCCCGAACAGTATAAAGTAGTTTTGTAAAATAATAATGGTGTGGACAAGCAAAAACAAAAACAAAAAAAAAGGGGCATAAATAAATTACAAATTAAAAACTAAAAAAGTGCGTCTTATACAAAGTATATCATATATAGTAACTATATAGCATGGGTGCAAAGCCCGGCCCTTAACTTAGCCATAAAAGTATTTATATATATGTACATATATTGTATATAGATATGTATTCTGTATTATATATGCGATTTACGTATAGATCGAATGTTGTGCAAACACTCGCTAAATGCAACAAATAAAAAATTCGAGCACATCGGCAACCCAGAAACTGTTGGAACTATAACCTACTAATACACAACTGTGCTGACCCACAACTAGGACCAGTTGGGTGCTGGTGGTTGGGCTTTTCGTTTTTTATTTTTTTCATGTGTGGATAATCGTTTGCTTAGTCAATTACCACGGCCCAGGGATGATCCACCTTGCCGTACTGTATATCGGCGAGTGTCTCGCGGATGAGCTCATGCACGGGCTTCTCCTGCTCCATGGTGGGTATGTACAGATCCTGGCCCATATAGTTGATGCGGTTTATGGGACTGACCACGCAGGCGGTGCCCGTGCCGAACAGTTCCAGCAGCTGCGAAGGCGAACCGAACCGAATTCGAGATCAGTATGCAAATCAAAAACTGGGCGCGAAGCTTGGTCTACTTACGCGTCCCTGGTTGAGCAGCTCGCTGATCATGGGCATGGTGAAGACACCCTCGCGCACCTTGAACTTGCCCCATTGTCGGGCCATGGCCAGAATCGAGTCGCGCGTGATGCCCGGCAGTATGAGGCCATTCAGGGGCGGGGTAATCAGTTCTTGTTCTGAAAAAAAAAGAGAGAACAAAATGGAAACAATTGAAAATGATAATCGAATCAGTTCCCTCCCAGTTCACAGCTATCAATTATCATCAAATATGTAACTGAAATTATGTATCGATTAGCTTATCGATAAATCAGTTCAAAATCATTTGCTTCAGTGTTGCAAAATCTTCCTAAGATGCCTGCTTTAAACGGATACAGATGCGAAGGAAAAAGAGGATAAATGCGTGTTGAAAATGGAAACCAAATTACAAATGAAATATGTGAAAAGTCAGACAGACATTGATTGGATTGATATAAAAAGCCAGAATCTATTTAACTTTAGACCAAAATAACGGTTTCCAACTACATTAAAGTGTTGCGAAACGTGTTTCAAATGTCAACCGAATGAGCTTGAGAAACCTGTTTTGAATACAAAGAGCACGAAGAGTAAAGTCGAAGGGAACAGATGCATCTCACATTTGTAGCAATAAAATAATGCATAAGTGTTGTAAATCGAGAAAAACATTAACTCCCTAGAGAAAAGGCGGGGAAAGGGGAAGGAACTAGGGCAATGAGACTCACCTCCTTGATCGTTGACATAGAACATAAAGATGTTCATGGTGCCCACCTCGGTCAGCTGATGATCCTCGCCATATAGCCAGAGCACCTGCTGGAGTCCGCGTGCGGCGGCCTCCTTTTGTACGTTGATGGTGGGTGCATAGTTGGAGCCCATTTTGCGATTGCCAACGCCGCCGGGCCAGGCGCGTGTGTAGCTGGGATCCGCCAGGAGGGAGACGGCGCCGTTGCTGCCAGTCTTGAAGTAGCTGCCCACGGGGCTGAGTATGGAGTAGAGCAGCGCCGAATCGGATGAGGCGACGCCTAAGGTGGGCTGCAAAGGGATTTCGAATTGGAGCCCAAGCTTAAGGTAAGGCAAGCTCTGTTACTCACGTCGATGCCAATTAGTGTGGGTCGGATGTAAAGGCTGGCGGCTTCCGTGTGTGGCACCCACTCGGAGTCAATGGAGAGCAGACGGGACAGGCATTTGACAAACTCCTTGCCCTCGAATGTGGGCAAGCCGGAACGCTGCGCGGCCAGATTCATGCGGGCCATATTCATGTCCGGCCGGAAGATGCGAATCTTGCCGTCGATGCCGCGGTACGCCTTCATGCCCTCAAAGAGCTGCAACGATGAGACGGCACAAGCCAATCAGCTGGGATCAGACGAAGATGATGTTGATGACGAGGATGAGGATGATGATGATGATGATGATGACGAGGAGCATGATGATGACGGGCATGACATTGGATGTTGGATTAACACTTACCTCGACGGCATAGTGCAGCACCTTGGCGGCCGGATGCATAACCAGATTCTCCAGCGGCGTTATCTCCGGCTTCTGCCAGCCGCCCAGGCTCTTGTGATAATAGATTTTGAGCATGTGATCCGTGAAGAGTTTGCCAAAGCCGAGCTGCTCATCGTTGTCCGGCTTGGGCTGCAGCTGCTGCGGTGTCGCCAGCCGTACGGCCAGCTGTGATGCCTTGAACATATGGCCCAGATCCTTGTCATGCTTGATCGGCTCCGGCGCATGTGTGTACTCCGTGTTGACCGAGGCGCTGATCTCAAAGTCCGGCGTAGCGTTCTTCTGCTGCTGCTGCTGGGCCGTCTTCAGGGATTGATTGC